GGTGAGACTGCGCTCTCAGGTACTGAGTCGTCCTCGTCCTTCCTCACTTTCACACTTGACTCCGGAGCTTCTCGCTCCTTCTTTCGAGACCGCACTACCCTTTCGCCGCTCGCCAGGCCGGTTGCGGTCTCCCTTGCTGACCCCTCTGGGGGTCCTGTCCTGTCTCACTTCTCCACTGTCCTCCCGTGTCCGGCTGCCCCTTCGGGCACCCTGTCGGGTCTGTACCTTCCCTCGTTCTCTACGAACTTGGTGAGTGGAGCGGACCTGCAGGATGGGGGTGTTCACCAGTTCACTCCTGCGCGTCAGAGGGTGACCCACTGCACGGAGGCTCGCACAGGCCGACACCTGGTCACGTTCTCACGTCGGCCGGGGTCGAGTCTCTACACCCTGACCGTTGAGTCTCCTCCTGTCCCTGCGTCTGGTCAGGTGGCTGCGTCGGGTCAGGTACTTGCTGCTGCGTCCCGGTCAGGTCCTGAGTCTGCCCCCTGTTCTTGTCGCCTCCTGTCTCACGAGACTCTCCTGTGGCACCACCGTCTTGGCCACCCCTCCTTGCTCCGTCTTCGGAGCATGGCTTCCCGTGTCCTTGTCTCTGGTCTTCCCCAGTCTCTCCCTCCTCTCCCCTCCGGGCCAGGACCTTCCTGTGTCCCCTGTGTCGAGGGTCGCCTCCGGGCTACTCCTCACTCCTCCCACTTCCCCCCGACAGAGGCTCCCCTGCAGACGCTTCACATGGATGTGTGGGGCCCAGCCCCCGTCCGTGGGCAGGGTTACGAGCGCTACTTCCTGTTGGTGGTTGACGACTACTCGCGTTACACCACAGTCCTCCCCTTGCGCAGCAAGGGTGCGGTCACTGAGGTGCTGATCGACTGGATCCGCGAGGCTCGTCTCCAGCTCAGGAAGAGCTTCGGCTCGGACTTTCCTGTTCTGCGTCTGCACTCTGACAGAGGCGGAGAGTTCTCTTCTCGCCTTCTGCGAGACTACTGTCGTGCACGGGGGATCCGCCAGACCTTCACGCTTCCAGACTCACCACAGCAAAATGGGATTGCTGAGCGCCGCATTGGCATGGTCATGGATGTCGCTCGTACGTCCATGATGCATGCGGCTGCCCCCCATTTTCTGTGGCCGTTTGCGGTGAGGTACGCGGCGCATCAGCTCAACCTTCACCCCCGGGTCTCTCGGCCAGCGATGTCCCCAGCCTTGCTGTGGACGGGGAAGGTTGGCGATGCGTCTGTGTTCCGTGTCTGGGGATCTCGGGCGTTTGTCCGCGACTTGTCTGCGGACAAGCTGTCCCCTCGTGCTGCTCCCTGTGTCTTCCTTGGCTTCCCCACTGACGCCCCAGGGTGGCAGTTTTACCACCCCTCCTCTCGTCGTGTTCTGTCCTCCCAGGACGTCACGTTCGACGAGTCAGTCCCCTTCTACCGTCTCTTCCCCTACCGCACTCCTTCCCTCCCCCCTCCCCCGGACTTCCTTGTGCCGGTTCCCCCCCCGGTAGACCCCCTCCCCCCTCAGGTTCCTGCCCCCTCAGGTGTGTCCCAGGTAGACGCCGTTGACCCGGTCGAGGTTACTGGTGACTCTGGTGCTGCTGCGGGTGCTGAGCCTGGGGGTGCTGACTCTGGGGGTGCTGTGCGCGGGGGTGCTGAGCCTGGGGGTGCTACTGCTGGGGGTGCTGGGCCTGAGGGTGCTACTGCGGAGGGTGCGGAGCCTGGGGGTGCTGAGCCGGGGGGTGCTGTGTCTGGGGGTGCTGGGTCGGGAGCTGCTGAGCCTGGGGGTGCTGAGCTGGGAGCTGCTGAGCCTGGGGGTGCTGCGTCTGGAGCTGCTGAGCCTGGGGTTTCTCCTGCTGCTGCGTCTCGCCGGGAGCCCCTCTCTCCACAGGAGCTGCGCGAGTGGTTCGCTCGCCGCTGGAGGCGAGCTGCTGAGTCTGGAGGTGCTGCTGGAGCTGGAGCTGGAGCTTCTTCGACCGTCGAGGGTGCGGGTGCAGCCGGTCCCGGAGCTGCTGGCCCTGCAGGTCCTCCTGGAGCTGGAGCTGCTGAGGGCGTTCGTGCTGAGCCTGCTGCTGTTGGTCCTGCCGCTGGAGGTGTGGGTGGCGCTGGTGCTGTCGCTGAGGGTGCTGGTGCTGTCCCTGCTGAGTCTGGAGCTGCCGCGCGGCCTCGGCCGTACTTCGTTCCGCTCCTTCAGCAGGTTCTTGGTCTTTCTCCTCCAGTAGAGGGTCCACCGCCTGTCCAGTCGCGGCCCCTACTGGAGCCTTCCTCTCCACTGCCTGCTCCCTCTCCTTACACTGGTCCTACTGGAGGTCTTGCTGAGCGTCGTGAGCCTGCGTCTCGTCCCGCGTCGCCTGTTCGTGCTGCTCGCGCTAGTGGTCGCAGTTCGCGTCAGCGTCCTCCTCCTGTCCCTGGCACGCACCGGATGTCTTTACGTCCGTCCACTGCTCCTCTGCGTGCCCCTTTGCCTTCTCCTCCTGAGTCCTCTCTTCCTGCGCTTGCGGACCCTGAGTCGGACTCTCTTCGTGCTGCCAGTCCCACTGTCACGCGTCTGCTTGCTACTGTCGTCACTGACCCCTCTTTTGAGTCCACTGCTGCGTCTGCTCTAGTCGCTGAGCTCGTCGACTTTGCTGCTCGCTGTCGTCTCGACTACGCTGCTAGTCTTGTTGCTGAGTCTGCGTCTGTCTGTCCTCCGTCCGTCGGGGGTGAGTGTGCTCTTGGCACGGACGTCCTAGAGGACAGGCAGGAGGAGTTACAGTGTCTAGCGGCTGCTTCACCTCATCTCGCGTCTGTACTGCTTGCCCCCGAGGGAGACCCGGATGCACTAGACATCCCGACTCCGCGTTCTTACGCGGAGGCCGTAGAGGGTCCCTACTCCTCTCAGTGGCAGGCAGCTATGGATGCAGAGATGGCTTCCTGGAAGTCCACAGGCACCTACGTTGACGCGGTTCCCCCTCCTGGGGCGAACATCGTCAGTGGCATGTGGATCTTCAGGGTGAAGCGGCCGCCGGGCTCTCCACCTGTCTTCAAGGCACGGTACGTTGCTCGTGGCTTCAGTCAGCGGCAGGGAGTTGACTACTTTCAGACCTTCTCTCCCACCCCGAAGATGACTACTCTTCGGGTGCTGCTGCACATAGCCGCTCAGCGCGACTACGAGCTTCACTCTCTCGACTTCAGCACTGCGTTCTTGCAGGGTAGCCTGCACGAGGAGATCTGGCTTCGCCGTCCACCTGGCTTTACTGGGACTTTCCCTCCTGGCACCCAGTGGAGCCTCCGACGGCCAGTCTACGGTCTCCGCCAGGCACCGCGTGAGTGGCACGACACACTGAGGACTACGCTTGCGGCTCTTGGGTTTGCTCCTTCTACTGCTGACCCGTCGCTGTTTCTTCGCACCGACACTTCCCTGCCGCCGTTCTACATCCTCGTGTACGTCGACGACCTGGTCTTTGCCACAGCGGACACTGCTGGACTCGCCTACGTGAAGTCCGAGCTGTTGAAGAGACACACGTGCACAGACCTGGGTGAACTGCGCAGCTACCTTGGCTTGCAGATCACTCGGGACAGAGCACGCCGCACCATTACCTTGACTCAGTCACACATGGTGCAGCAGGTCCTTCAGCGCTTCGGCTTCACGTACTCCTCGCCTCAGGCCACTCCTCTGCCTACTCGCCACTCACTCTCAGCTCTGCCTTCGGATGAGTCCGTAGAGTCGAGTGGTCCGTATGCGGAGCTTGTTGGCTGCCTCATGTACCTGATGACCTGCACACGACCTGACCTTGCATACCCTCTGAGCATTCTTGCACGCTATGTTGCCCCTGGGAGACACAGACCGGAGCACATGGCTGCAGCGAAGAGGGTATTGCGCTACCTGTGCAGTACGTCAGGCATGGGGCTAGTGCTTGGAGGGCGGAGTCCAGTGGTCCTTACCGGCCACGCGGACGCTTCTTGGGCTGACGACCAGGCTACGCAGCGGTCGTCACAGGGTTACACCTTCAGCCTTGGTTCCGGCTCTGTCTCGTGGCGGTCTACTCGCTCGTCTTCGGTTCTCGGCTCCAGTTGTGAGGCTGAGATCTACGCCGGGGCCATGGCTGCACAGGAGCTTCGCTGGCTCACCTACCTGCTGACTGACCTTGGAGAGCCGCCTCGTTCTCCTCCAGTGCTGTACGTAGACAACAAGGCTATGCTGGCCTTGTGTCGAGAGCAGCGCTTGGAGCACAGAACGAAGCACATTGCTCTCCGCTACTTCCTTGCTCGTGAGCTGCAGCAGCGTGGTCAGTTGCGACTTGCGTACGTGGCCTCTGAGGCCAACACTGCTGATGTGTTCACCAAGGCACTTGCGCCTTGTGACCATCAGCGCTTCTGCACCCAGCTGGGTCTTGTGTCTGTCTTGCCTCACTTGCTCTCCTCTTGACCTCACTTGTACTGTGACATATATATATATACCTGCTCTTGCTTGTCTAGCTTTATATATATGTCTATACTCTTGCTTGTGAACTGGCCTTTGGCCTTGCTCTTGTGCTCGGACTGTGTGGTGACTTTGTGATCCACCCTGAGCTTTGCTTTGTCTTGCTTGACTGGTCTTGTGACCCCTTGTTCTCCCCCACTTTGCCTATGGGGGTGTGTTAGAACATATCTATAGCTTATACTGATGTGTAGGCTGTAGTGGGGTATCCCATAGGGGGTACAACCCAGTTAGGGTTTCATATTTGTACTGCTTTCATTCATAGTTCATTCATTCCTGTTTTCCTATTTTCACACCTACTGCCTGCTGCTTGCTGCCTTTGCCTTTGCAAGCCGCCTACTGCCTACTGTTTGATGCCTGCTTCCTACTGCCTTTGCCTTTGCTTTGCCTGCTGCCTGTTGCCTACTGCCTTTGCCTTTGCTTTGCCTGTTGCCTGCTGCCTACTGCCTTTGCTTTTGCTTTGCATGCTGCCTGCTACCTACTGCCTGCTGCCTGCTGCCTTTGCCTTAGCCTGCTGCCTACTGCCTACTGCCTTTGCCTACTGGCTTTACCTGCACTGCGATATGGCAACGCTTAATGTTCTCGCGTTTGAGCGTGACGGTCGCCCGATCGAGTTCGCTGTGTGGCTCGACAATCTCCAAATGTTCCTTTTGTTCGAAGCCAAAGACGGCGTTTCACCGTTCGATTACGTGTCTGGCATTGCCGTTGCTCCTGCTGATGATGCTATTCTTTCGAACACTCACAGTGGCAGACTCGCGATAATGCTGCACGCCTAGCTATTAGGAACCATCTACCGATCACTGAGCGTGCGCATTTCAGCTAGCACAAAACTGCTAAGGCACTGTACGACGCTGTAGTTGCGCGCTAATCCCTCCCGGCCACTGCAGCCCTAGGTCGGCTCATGCTACCCTACCTGTTCCCCGACCTATCCTTGTTTACCACTGTTGAGGACCTCATTTGTCACCTTCGCACTAGTGACACTCGCTTTCGTGCCGCCCTTCTAGCAGCAGAGAAGAACATCCTTGCTGTAGGTGCTGCTCATGGTACTCATCGCTCTCCCCTCTTTAAGGGGTGCTCCCCCTCCCCTCTTACCCCCTCCTACGCCTCCGCAGCTGCTGCTGTCGACCTCCTTGGTGCTGAGAAGGTCGCAGCTACTTCCGCTCCTAGTGGGAAGCGCAACGGCTCCAGGGGAGGCAAGAGTGGCAGGGGTGGCGGACGTGGCAGTGGAGGGGGCGGTGGTGGAGGTGGCGGGGGAGGTGGAGGTGGTGGGGGTGGTCGTGGGGGTGAAGGTGGTGGTGGGGACGGTAGTGGTGCCGGGAGTAGTGGCGGTGGCGGCGGCGGTGGTGGCAGAGCGGGGAGTGGTGGTGGCAGTGGTGGTGGGGGCTTGGGTGACACCAGTGGTGGCCAGGGGCAGCAGCAGCTGTAGCAGTAGTAGCAGCAGGAGCAACAGCAGCCGCAGCAGCGTCAGCGCCAGACCCCCACTTCCCAGCAGCTTTTTGACTGGTACGTTGGGCGTGGGGCGTCTGGGTGTCCTGGTCGCTGCCCTTATATCATTCGCACAGGTCCCCGCGCTGGTCGGAAGTGCACAGGGTTCACACTGAGTACCGCTGCTTTGCTCGCCTGGCGCGTCAAGATTCTTGATGCTACTGAGTTCCCCAACTAGGCAGACCTGCTTAGGCATGATGTACCTATCTTTGATCTTGAGTATGAGGCTATTCTTGCTGCCATGTATGCATTGAATGTTAGTGCTTCGGGTGACTGCTATAGCCCCAGATATAGCGCCTGTGGCACTAGGTGCTTGTGAGTCTGCTCCCCCTGGCACTGCGTCCGCACAGGCCTTGCACACCTTCACACTTGACTCTGGTGCTTCCTGCTGTTTCTTTCGCGACAGCACCACAGTCACTCCCCTCCGTGCACCTGTTCGTGTCTCACTGACTGACCCCTCTAGGGGCCCCGTGCTTGCACGGTCTTCCACTGTGCTTCCGTGTCCGGCGGTCCCGTCTGGTGAGTTGTCTGGTCTCCACCCCCCCTCGTTCTTAACTAACTTGGTGAGCAACGCCGTCCTTTAGGATCACTTGGTTGACACCTTTACTCCTGGAGGACAGCGTGTGGCGATCTGCACGTGCTCCCGTACCGGCCGTCACCTGGCCACGTTCACACGTGCACCTAGGTCCATTTTGTACACCCTCACCACTGTGTCGCGCTCCACCTCTTTGTCTCCCCAGCTGTACGCGTCTGCTCAGGTAGCTACCCAGTGTGAGTATCGCCGACTGTCGCACGACACTCTCCTGTGGCACCACCGCCTTGGTCACCCCTCCCTACCTCGCCTTTGTAGCATGCACTCTCGCTTCCTAGTCTCTGGCCTTCCCAGGTCTCTGCCTGCCCTCCCTCCCTCAACTGCGCCGCCATGCACTCCTTGCGTCAAGGGGCAGCAGCGCGCCGCTCCTCACTCCTCCTCGTTCCCTCCCACAGAGGCTCCACTGCAGACTCTCCACCTAGATGTGTGGGGCCCAGCCCACGTCCGTGGACAGGCTACAAGCGGTACTTCCTGCTGGTCGTCATGACTACACGCTTTACACCACGGTCTTCTTCTTGCAGCGCAAGGGGGAGGTCCCTGATGTTTTGATCCCCTGGATCCGCGTTGTTCATCTCCAGCTCCGCGAGCGGTTCCAGTCAGACTTTCCTGTCCTGCGTCTGCACTCTGACAGAGGTGGTGAGTTCTCCTCAGACCTCTTGGCAGCCTTCTGTGCGGAGCACGGCATCCCCAGACGTTCACGCTTCCGGCCTCTCCGCAGCAGAATGGGGTTGCTGAGCGCTGCATTGGCTTAGTCATGGAGGTCGCTCGTACCTCCATGATCCATGCGGCTGCCCCCATTTTTTGTGGCCGTTTGCGGTCCGGTACGCCGCGCATCAGCTCAACCTTTGGCCCCGTGTCTCCTTCCCGGAGACCTCGCCCACACTGCTGTGGACGGGGAAGGTTGGCGATGCGACGCATTTCCGGGTCTGGGGTGCTCGTGCCTTTGTCCGCGATACCACCGCGGACAAGCTCTCCCCTCGCGCCATTCCCTGCGTCTTCCTTGGCTTTGTCCCTAACGCGCCTGGCTGGCAGTTTTACGACCCCGCCTCGCGCCATGTCTTTCCGTCTCAGGATGTCACCTTTGACGAGTCAGTTTCCTTTTACCATCTCTTTCCCTACCGCACTGCCCCTCGCCCCCCCCCGCCACTCTTTCTCACCCCAGGTCCTCCCCAGGTAGACCCCCTCCCCGCTCCAGGTCCTGCTCCTTCAGGTGTCTCTCAGGTAGACCCTCCCGTACCTGCACCTGTTGAGGTCGCTGTTGACTCAGTTCCTGCTGGGGGTGGTGCTGTCCCTGGGGGTATGGAGTTTGGGGGTGCGGAGCTTGGGGGTGCAGAGCGTGGGGGTGCTGAGACTAGGGGTGCAGAGTCTGAGGGCACTGAGCCTGGGCGTGAGGAGCATGAGGGTGCGGAGCCTGGAGGTGCTGAGCCTGTGCGTGAGGAGCCTGGAGGTCTTGACCTGGGGGTGCTGCGTCTGGGGGTGCTGCGTCTGTGGGTGCTGAGCCTGTGTGTGAGGAGCCTGGGGGTGTTGAGTCTGGGGGTGCGACGCCTTAGGGTTTTGAGAATTCTGTTACGCGGTCTCCTTGGAGTAGCTACCTTCGTGCGCGTGTGCCTCTCACCTCAAAGCAGCTGTACCACTGGTACGGTCGGGGTCAGGGTCACGCTTCTGGAGCTCGGGGCTCTGCTGCTGGAGGTACTCGTGCTGGCGTCATTGGAGCTGGGAGTGGTGCTGGTCCTTTGTCTACAGGAGGTGCTGGAGTCGCTGGTCCTGGAGGTGCTCGTACTGGAGGTATTGGAGCTGCTGGGGCTGAAGGTGCTGTGTCTGAGGGTGCTACTGCTGGAGACCCTTGGACTGGGGGTGCTGCTATTGGAGGCACTGAGGCTGGAGACCTTGGGACTTGAGGTGCCGGTAGTGGGGGTGCTGAAGCTGGTCCTGGAGGAGCTGGCGCTAAGGTTTCTGGAGCTGGTGGAGGTGCTGGAGCTGCTGGTGCTGGTGGCACTGCATAGCCGCGCCTGTTCTTCGCTCCGCCGCCTCCGCCGTCTCAGCCACCGCCTGACTCTGCGCTTGACCAGGTTCTTAGTCTCCCTTCGTCCACTAGTCTTCCGCTACAGCCTTACTCACCGCTGCCTGCTCCTTCTCCGTACACCGAGCAAACAAGGGGCCTTCCTGAGCGTCATGAGCCTGCGTCGCGTCCGGTCTCGCCTGTCCGTTCTGGTCGTTCCGGTCGTTGTGTTCCTCGTCTGCGTTAGCTGGCTGTCCCAGGCACCCGCCTTGTAGTCTGTCGTCCTTCCTCTCCTCCGCCGCGTGTTCCTCTACCGTCTTCCCTTGCGTCCTCTCTGCCTGACGTTGGGGACCCTGAGTCTGACCAAATTCGTACTGATCACCCTACTGTTACGCGTCTGTTAGCCACTGTTGGCATTGACCCTTTGTTTGAGTCCATTGCTGCGTCTGCCCTAGTCGCTGAGCTTGTTGACTTTGCTGCTGCCTGTTGCTTAGACTACACTGCTAGTCTTGTTGCTGAGTCTGATTATGTCTGTCCTCCGTCTGTTAGAGGTGAATGTGCTCTTAGCACGGACGTCCTTGAGGATAGGCACGAGGACCTTGAGTGTCTTGCGGCCGCTGCGCCTCATCTCGTGGCCATTCTGCTTGCCCCTGAGGGAGACCCGGATGCACCAGACATCCCGGCCCCGCGCTCTTACGCTGAGGTGATCGCGGGTGAGTACTCTTCCTGGTGGCAGACAACCATGGACGCAGAGATGGCATCCTGGAAGTCCACAGGCACGTACGTCGATGAGGTTCCTCCTCCCGGGGCGAACAACGTTGACGACATGTGGATTTTCAGGGTGAAGCGGCCGCCAGGTTCTCCGCCTGTCTTCAAGGCTCGTTACGTTGCTCGAGGCTTCAGTCAGCGTGAGGGAGTTGACTTCTTCCAGACCTTCTCCCCGACCCCGAAGATGACCACTCTTTGGGTGCTGCTGCACATTGCCGCCCAGCATGATTATGAGATTCACGAGCACACCTTTCTTGTAGGGCAACCTGCACGAGGAGATCTGGCTGCGCCGCCCGCCAGGCTTCACTGGGTTGTTCCCCCCGAGTACCCAGTGGAGCCTCCGGCGGCCGGCATACGGTCTCCACTAGGCGCCACGTGAGTGGCACGACATACTGAGGACGACACTTGCCGCTCTTGGGTTTACTCCGTCGACTACTGACCCGTCGCTGCTTCTGCGCACCGACACTTTGCTGCCGCCGTTCTACATCCTCGTGTACATCGACAACTTGGTCTTTGCCACTGCTGACACCGAGGCTCTCGCCCTGGTGAAGTCGAAGCTGCAGAAGAGACACACGTCAACAGACTTGGGTGAGCTGCGCAGTTACCTTGGCTTGTAGATCACCCGGAACAGAGCACGCCGCACCATCACACTGACTCACTCACACATGGTGCAGCAGGTCCTTCAGCGCTTCGGTTTCACCTAGTCCTCGGCACAAGCAACTCCTCTGGCTACAGGTCACTCGCTCTCAGCTCCACCTTCGGACGAGTCCGTAGAGCCGAGTGGTCCTCACCCAGAGCTAGTGGGCTGCCACATTTACCTGATGAACTGCACTCGTCCTGACCTTGCGTACCCTCTTGGCCTTCTTGCTCGCGACGTGGCTCTTGGTCGGCACCGAAAGGTGCACAAGGATGCTGCTAAGAGGTTACTGTGCTACTTGTACAGCACATTAGACATGTGGCTCGTGCTTGGAGGGCGGAGTCCAGTTGTCCTCACTGGGCACTCAGACGCTTCTTGGGTTGACGACCAGGCTATGCAGTGGTCGTCACAAGGTTACTCATTCAGCCTTGGCTCCGGCTTTGTTTCTTGGCGGTCTACACGCTCGTCTTCTGTTCTCAGCTCCTGTTGTGAGGCTGAGATCTACGCCATAGCCATGGCTGCACAGGAGTTACATTGGCCCACCTACCTGCTGACCGACGTGGGAGAGCGGCCTCGTTCTCCTCCAGTTCTGTACGTAGACAACAAGGCCGCCATTGCCTTGTGACATGAGCATAGACTGGAGCACAGAGCGAAGCACATCGCTCTGCGTTACTTCCGTGCTCGAGAGTTGCAGCAGCGGGGTCAGCTTCGCCTTGCTCACGTGGCCACTCGGGCCAACACTGCTGATATATTCACCAAGGCACTTCTGTCTGGTGACCATCAACGCTTTTGTATTTTGTTGGGCCTTGTGCCTAGGTTTCCAGACTTGTTGTATTCTCTGCTTGTACTGTGATCTATATACATATATACTTGCATGCTTGCTTTTGCTAGGTAGAGATCATTGTACTGTTCTTGTTGCATATATACCTCTGCATGTGAACTGGCCTTGTGGCCGTTTGCTTATGCTCAGTGTGTGTGGTGACGTTGTGATCCACCCTGAGCTTGTTTTGGTTTCCTTGTCTGGTCTTGTGACCTCTTGCTCTCCCCCACTTTGCCTATGGGGTGTGTCAAACATATACATGTGTTATTGTTTTGGGTAGGCTGTAGTAGGGTAGATACTATGGGGTACAACCCTTTAGGTTTTTTTCTTGTACCAAAATCACTCGATAGTCAACACATTCCTACCTAGTTTCTGAAAGTTGACAACAGACGCTTCCGCATAGGATTCATTTTCAGTTTCAACCTGGTGGACTCATCTCATGGAACTCTTAGAAGCAGGAACTCATCGCTCTTTCGTTTGCTGAAGCAGAGTTCATCGTCACCAGCGCAGCTGTTCGCGAAGGATTGTACCTAATGGAACTCCTGCAGGAAGCGAAAGTAACGACGAACGGGCGCTTCACGTTACTCTTCGACAACAAGTGCGCGATCAAGATCGCGAACAAGCCCGTCTTCGTGAACCGCACAAAACACATCGCCCTTCGCTACTTCTTCGTCAAAGACGAAATCGACAAGGGCAAGGTCAAGCTCACGTACTGCCCGACTGGTGACATGGCAGCCGACTTCCTGACAAAGAAAATGCCACGTCAACAGTTCCAGCACTTTTCCAACCTTTGCGGGATCACCAAGAAGTCCCACGTGGCCCACCTTCAGGAATGAAGGGGAGTGTTGGAAGGTCCCGAAATGTTATTATAAACATTCCCGAAGGTTCTCCACTCTCGCGTCACTCCATAATGAAGTGAACGCATGTACTAGTACCGCAATAGCTTATATAGAGCACGCGGACGGTCGAGGGTCACTCGAAGGTCAACAGTCGAAGACAGTCGACGGTCGTGAGCCTTGACTGCCCAGTAACCGCAGGAGGCAGTTGCCAAGTGCAACGCGGTAACTGTCTAGAATGGCAATAGTCGTGGGTTACTGTAGCAATGTAATTCAGTTAATAAGGGAATGTACCCCTCAGAGTACAGGGCTAGCTAGGATTTCTATTTATATCATTGCACTCCTATCTTATAATCTTGTTCTCCTTCAATTTATTAACAAGGCCACTACAGAGACTTCACAGTTCTCTCTCTTACACTTGGCAACCTTATCCTATCCACTACGACCCTTCAGTTGTAACATCAGCGAGTTACCAAACATGTTAAGGGAGTTACCAAACGCGTTAAACGGGTTCCCAAACGCGTTGAAATCGTTACCGTTGGCGTTATAGTGCCCCAATGTAAGTTACCATTGACATATTTTCCCTGGAAATTATGTCTTGTTTTTGGTTTTCTTTTCTTTTCTCTCCGATTTGTTCATCTTGATTGGGCCCATGTTCATGTGAAAGAAGGAGCATAAAGGTTCTTACAACGCAAAATATTACTGTACTGGCGTCGATATGTGCTCATTTGAAATCATAACGAGGAAAATGAACCTTGGTAGTTTTCCTGAGGCACTCCGCTTCATTGACTAGTTTTTAGTTCCATCACCTTGGTACTATTGCCTGATCGAAGCTACCAACCGCATCGAAGGCGCCACGATGGTTGACATCGAGGACCTGGCATCGGGTAACCACCCTTTTGACGAGGACAGGCGAGCCGGATTAGGTCGTAAACAAAGCGGCAAAAGCGCCGTAAACAGCTTGAATGGAGAGATCTCAACCGTTGATTCCCAAGCACCCCTTCCTGAAGTAGGAGGCGGCCGGCCTGCTGTTAGGCGACGGCCGAAGAAGTCATCCGCAGTTCGCATTGACGGTAACGGAAACGACATCGGTAACGGTGTCATTGAGAACGGTCTGAAGCAGGCAGGCGAGGTCTCGGACAGCGAATTGAGGGTTTCAAAGCCAGAAGCTGGCAGCGGAATTGCTCGTATCGGGGATGGCGCAGCGAATGCGTTGGCCGAGCATGGTGATGAGATCCATCGCGAGGATGAGAGTGCGCCGGCTTCTGTTCCTGGAACGCAGGTATGCTTATAATGGGGATGAAATTCGGTCAGTATCCATTGATTGATTCCAGTCAGTATTCATCATTACAGTTTAGGAAAACTTGTGTGTTCAGGTAAACATGAATCTCGCGTTTTTCTACAGCAAGTCAGCCTGTTAGGTGTGAATGGGCGCTCTTTGAGTTCTTGCTTTTGCAACTGCCCCGCCCGCTTTACCCACCCAATTGTGTGGCTTCTCGTTCTAATAAGTCCCTGCTTGGCCCTTGCTCTCACCTTTCTCCCTCGCCTGCAGTCTATATTCATCAAGACGTTTGGCTGCTCTCATAACCAGGTACCTCTCTTAAACCCTTCCAGGGGCTTTGTGCTATCGTTTCAATTGCTTCTTGTATCTTGAAGAAGACTTTCTTGGCACCATACGCGGATGTGATGGGGCACAGCACATGGATTTCTCGACAACTGCAGATTTGGTCATTGCCTGGTGACACAAAGTTGCCTCTGCCCTTGCCTTAAAACCAAACCTTGTACCTTGAAAATCGAATTCTTTCACCAGACTCCCTCCGTTATGACTGGCAGGGAGGCAATGAGTACACGGCTAGTTTGTTGGCAACACCCGTTTCGTTCATGGCAAATAATTAGAATCTCTATTCCACCACCCGCCTCCTCTCCTTTCCCCTCCTCTCCTCCTCATCATATCTTCCCCTCCTCTCCTTCCCTATTGATCCCCCTCTTCTCCTTCTTTCGTATCTTTTCCATACTTTCCTCTCCCATATTCCTCTCCTCTCCTATTTTCCTATCTCTTCCAACTCCTATCCTCCCCCACCGCACTCCCCCAACCCCACGGCAGAGCGACAGTGAATACATGGCTGGGCAATTGGCGGCGTTTGGATACCAACTGGTGGAGGTGCCATCTGAGGCGGACCTGTGGATCATCAACACGTGAGTGCGAGTCGGGTGGGCTGGTTGGAGGGGATGTAAGGGGAGGGCTTGGTATGGGTACTGGTTGGTGGAGGTGCCATCTGAGGCGGACCTGTGGATCATCAACACGTGAGTGCGAGTCAGGTGGGTGGCTAGGAAGCAAGGGTTTTTGGGTACCTCCTGGTGAAGTTTCCTTCATATGCACGTGAGTGCCCGTCTCATACCATGACCTCCTTCATTCTCCCCTCGACCCCTCTTGTACCTGCCCTGCCTTGCCCACCACCAGATGCACGGTGAAGAAACCGTCACAGTCTGCCATGGACACTCTCATCCGCAAGGGCAGGGAGCTATCGTTGAGGCACGTCAAGAACAACATTTGTCTGCGCTTTAACAACTTCGCCCCCCTGCTCCGCTTGACCTCTCCCCCCCACCAGGTGCACGGTGAAGAACCCATCACAGTCTGCAATGGATACGCTCATCCGCAAGGGCAGGGAGCTGAGCAAACGACTCGTGCTCGCAGGCTGCGTGCCCCAGGTGTGTCCTCTTGTCCATTCCGTTCCGTTCCGCTGCGTTCCGTTGCGTTCTGTTCCGTTCCGTTCTGTTCCACTCCCATGTTTGCAGGGCGGCGCATGTAGCAGCAAGACATCACGTGCATCAGGTGTGTGGGAGCACCCAGGGTACTCAGGCCGAGAGATAGTAATTTTCGTCTACTCTGCCTCCATGCATCACACCCCAACCCGCCAGGCAGCCCTCCCCACTCCCCACCAGGCCCCACCCAGCCCAACCAATCCCCACCTTCGCCGCTCCCACTCCCCACATGCGTGTGCCCCCATTGGCTGTAATTGTTAACTAAAGTGCTGCTGCAGTAAACCCATTAAGAATTCATGCAATGACGGGTTAGCGAGGGAGTGAGTGAGTGTGGGGGGCGTGCAGCAGATCGCCCTGTGATGGAAGGTATGTCTTTCTTCTGAGAAACCCTTGCATTTCCTGGTTCCGCAATGCCTGCCCCTCTCCTTCCTCCGCCCCTTCGTCCTGCGTTTCCCCCCTCTCTTCTTTACCCATTTTCTACCCCCATACTTCTCCGCATCAGGGTGACAGGGGGGTGGCGGAGGGCGAGGAAGTGAGTGTGGTGGGAGTGCAGCAGATCGACCATGTGATGGAGGTGGTGGAAGAGACGCCTTTCTCATGCCCCCTGCCTTTTTCCCTGCCTCCTCCCTTTTACCACCCCTGCCTCTGCTCCTGTCTCGGACCTGGCCTCTTGCCCTCCCTCCTTGTCAGGGCGACAGTGGGGTGGCGGAGGGCGAGGGAGTGAGTGTGGTGGGGGTGCAGCAGATCGACCGAGTGGTGGAGGTGGTGGAAGAGACGCCCTTGCGATCAACCTCCCTTATGTCCTTGCCTCTTCCCCCGCCACCTTGTGCCTCCTCGCTTGCTCTACCCACAGGGTGACAGTGGGGTGGCGGAGGGCGAGGGAGTGAGTGTGGTGGGGGTGCAGCAGATCGACCGTGTGGTGGAGGTGGTGGAGGAGACGCTCAAGGGCAACACCGTCCGCCTGCTCTCCCGCAACCGGGCCCTACCCGCACTCGACCTGCCCAAGGTAGAGTAGTGTCTCTGTCTGTCTCTCTGTTCCCCCAGGGGGGTTTCAACCCCAACGTTTCTCTCACCTCCTGTGTGGTGAGACGGTTTTGTGAGACTACTAATCTCAAATCCACTCACCCACGCTACAGGTGGGTGGAGATCGTGCCGATCAGTGTGTGCTGCGTTGAATGATGTTTTAGCCGTCCCCAACCCCCCCTTTTCACACACCTTCTCCTTCTCTTCCCACCTTCCTCCCCACTCCCGCCCCCACGCCACCAGGTGCGGCGCAACAAGTGGGTGGAGATCGTGCCCATCAGTGTGGGCTGCCTGGGTGCATGCACCTACTGCAAGACAAAGCACGCCAGAGGCCACCTCGGCTCCTACCCTCTGCCTGTGCTGGTAAGTGGATGTCCTCTTCCACACGCTTGAGCCTATTCCTTAGGCGACTCAGTTCATGGGTACAGCATGCTCTTGTGAGCGCGGGCTCCCTGGGCGCGTGTGCGTATTGCAGGATGAAGCATGCCAGCATGAAGGATGAAGCATGCCAGCATGAAGGATGAAGCATGCCAGCATGAAGGATGAAGCATGCCAGCACAAAGGATGAAGCATGCTAGCATGAAGGATGAAGCATGCCAGCATGAAGGATGAAGCATGCCAGCATGAAGGATGAAGCATGCCAGCATGAAGGATGAAGCATGCCAGCATGAAGGATGAAGCATGCCAGCACGAAGGATGAAGCATGCCAGCATGAAGGATGAAGCATGCCAGCATGAAGGATGAAGCATGCCAGCATGAAGGATGAAGCATGCCAGCACGAAGGATGAAGCATGCCAGCATGAAGGATGAAGCATGCCAGCATGAAGGATGAAGCATGCCAGCACGAAGGATGAAGCATGCCAGCATGAAGGATGAAGCATGCCAGCATGAAGGATGAAGCATGCCAGCATGAAGGATGAAGCATGCCAGCACGAAGGATGAAGCATGCCAGCATGAAGGATGAAGCATGCCAGCATGAAGGATGAAGCATGCCAGCATGAAGGATGAAGCATGCCAGCACGAAGGATGAAGCATGCCAGCATGAAGGATGAAGCAGCTCCTACCCTTTGAATGTGCGGATACGTTTGATCTCCCTCCAGGTGGACAGGGTGAGGGTAGCGGTAGCAGAGGGCGTGCTGAAATCGGGCTGAGCAGCGAGGACCTACGTCTGTGGTCCATGCGTTGGAGCTTTGGAGGCGCCTAAAAAATTGCGGGTGGAGAGACGACTTTTGAGGCTCCTCAGAAATCTGGCTGAGCAGCGAGGACTCGGTCGCCTACGTCCGTGGTCCATGCTTTGGAACTTGGAACCCATATGCTCCCGTCTCTCTTGCCACCCCCCTTCCCCTTACAGGTGGGACAGGGTGTGGGCGCTGTATCAGAGGACGTGAGGGAGATCTGGCTGAAAAACAAGGATACGGGGGCCTATGAGAACGTATCTTGCCACTTCACTTCCTCCCCCCCACCTCCTCCAGGTGGACAGGGTGCGGGCAGCAGTAGCAGAGGGAGTGCGAGAGATCTGGCTAAGCAGCGAGGACACGGGCGCCTATGGTCGGGACATCGGCAGCGACCTGCCCTCCCTCCTCTCCGCCCTCGTGACCTCCCTCCCCCCTGACGGCCGCTGCATGCTGCGAGTCGGCATGACCAACCCGCCCTACATTCTCGAGCATCTGCCCGAAATCGCGAAAATCCTCAACCACGCCTGCGTGTACAAGTTTCTGCACCTGCCCGTGCAGTCGGGCAGCAACAGCGTGCTGGAGGGCATGAAGAGGGAGTATACAGTGGAGGAGTTCTGCCGGGTGGTTGACACACTCATGGGGCTGGTCCCTGGCTTGGAGATCGCCACCGACATCATCTGTGGCTTCCCAGGTACGTTGTGTAGAACCTAAACCACCATATGCATAGGGGTTTGCCTGCTTTGGGTATTGGGAGTCTCGTTTTGTTCTGGTGCAATGGGGTAGCAGCAGCGTGCAGTCGGGCAGCAACAGCGTGCTGGAGGGCATGAAGAGAGGGTATACGGTGGAGGAGTTTTGCCGCGTGGTGGACACACTTATGTCCCTTGTGCCTGGCTTGGAGATCGCAACAGATATCATCTGCGGCTTTCCAGGTGTGTGTGTGGTTCATAGCCTTTCTTACCACAAACATATGGGGTGTGTTGGGGACTTGCTCTAAACTCTTGAGTTATGACACGTCAGGCCGTGATAGGAGATCACCACAGCTGACCTCATTTTTGGCAATCCGTTAAGCCATTTCGTAGACTGCACTCCATGTCTCTCCCAACCCAAACCCCACCCCACCCGATCCCACCCCATCCCACACCACCCCATCCCATCCCACACCACCCAACCCAACCCCACCATGGCAGGAGAGACAGCAGCTGACTTTGAGCAGACCTTGGATCTGATTCGCAAGTACAAGTTTGCTCAAGTGCACATCTCCCAGTTCTACCCCCGCCCAGGTAAGACCTGTCTCTATAGCTGTAGCCTCCCTTGCAGTAATAGCCTTTCCAGGTGGGCCTTGCAGGTGTATCCTCCTCCACATGCATATAAAACTCCCCCCAGGTAATCCCTGCAGATGTAGCTTTCCCCGAATGTGCCTGCAGTTACATCCTTGGCGAGCTATCCTGCCACATTTCTGTATGAGTACCCCCCTTTTTTTTCCCTACTTTTCCAATTGTGCTGTTTGTCCATTCGAGCCAAGGACCCCGTCACACGCATGCCCAAGGTGCCATTAAGGGTTCATAAGGAAGCCTCTTCTGTTTCGAACCCCACCCCAACATATCTCTCCAGGCACGCCAGCAGCGCGCATGCCCAAAGTGCCATCAGGGGAGGTGAAGCAGCGCAGCAGAGCACTCACCGCCCTCATAGAGTCCTTCACTCCCTACACGAACCTTCTTGGAACCACCCAGAGGGTCTGGATCACCGATGTTGCCGCAGATAAGACGAAGCTTGTCGGCCACACGGATAGCTACGTGCAGGTGCTCGTACCCCCTGATGACGTGGCATTGGATAAGCTGCCAGGTGGCAAGCCACCAGGTGACACGTCAGCAGCCAGTGTGTCTTCAGATGACGCCGTGGATCAAGATAAAAAAGCTTTGGGGCAAATTGCGACAGCCAATGGGCGGACGGCGAAAGCGAATGAGCCGACCAGTGGTGGCAAGAGTGCGCTTTTTGGGTCGGACTTGTTTGTCCGCATCATCACAGTCGGGCGGTGGTCTGTGATTGGCGTGCCGGTGTCTGCCCCAGTGAAGTATCTGCCTGTTGCTGCCGGAAGCCTAGATATTCTTAACAAGGCTCAGCAGAGCAAGGAGCAGCAGCAGGTTGAGACTGAAGAGCAGCCACCGCTACCACCATTGCTGCAGGAGCAGCAGTCGAAGGAGCATCAGGAGGCAGGAATGGGGGGAGCGTCAGATGGGTGTTGTGGTGGAGGGAGTGAAGGAGCTTGCGCTTGCTCTGGTGATACTCCTGCTGCTGCTTCTGCAGAAGGGGACAAGTGCTGCAACACGGGAAGCTCGTCCTCCAGTGGTGTTTTGGCAGCAGCTGTGGAAGGAGAAGTGAACTCCACAACTGCGGTTCCTGCATGTGGGAGAGGAGCAGGAATGGGCGGGGAGTTGGTTGACAGATTGTTGCTTGCTGGTATAGCGGTAGGAGCATTAGGCATTGCGGTCTCTTTGGCTTGGACTGTATACATTCGCTACAGTAACAAGAGGTGACAAAATTGTTATTCCTGGGAGCCATTGTGGAAGTTGATGTCCGAAATATCTAATTGTTTTGTGCCCTTCATTTCTCTCCAATAGAGATACCTGTTTACCAGCGAGTGCTACATTAACGTGGATTTTTGTGACCTTCGTCCTCGAGGCGGGACCATTAGCATTTGGCTAAGCGGGGAGGTAGGAGTTTAGGTCACCTAGACAGTGTCGCACTTTTGAGGAGATCTCGAGGCCCAGACCCAGATGCCCGTCCGTATACGGTAGTTGCAGGCGTATTTGGGGAATTGTCGCTCTTTATGTAACGTCGCTGAAGTGCTACCTAAGCGGGAAACCGCAGAATTCTCAGAATGCGTCTAGCCTCTTGATCTCCTAACCCTCCCGCTACTCCATTCCCGCCGACCATTTGCCTCGAGTTATCCGTAAATTCATCCCATTCACCCGAAATACGAATCCGCAGGATCCGGCGGGAGCTCGTCTGTCACGTCCTGCTGCCGTACCATATCGTACTGTCAACCGTCGTTTTTCTCAACGCAGGTTTCCCCCAATCGTTGACCTAAGTCACCCAATCCCAGCTCCGCCTGTTTTTACCCCAACCCCGCTTCCGCCTGGTCCGCCTGCTTTCACGCCGTCCTCCGCCATGTCGTCGCTCCCGCAAGGTCTACTCCCGTCCGAGGACGATCTGCTATACGAGGAAGAGATTCTCAGAAACCCTTTTTCTCTTAAACTCTGGTGGCGGTACCTCGCGGCGCGGCGCGATTCGCCCGCGCGGAAGCGGTACTTGATTTACGAGCGCGCGTTAGTAGCTCTCCCGGGATCTTACAAGCTATGGGCGGCGTACCTTAAGGAACGCCGCGCGGCGGTCCGCGGGCTTCCCGCGAATCACGCTGCGCACGCCGCTTTGAACAACGCGTTCGAGCGCGCTTTAGTTACGATGCACCGCATGCCGCGCATTTGGCTCGAGTACCTATCCGCGTTGGTAGACGACCAGAAGCTAGTAACGCGCGCGCGTCGCACGTTCGATCGTGCGCTTCGATCCCTGCCCGCGACGCAACACGACAGGCTCTGGGATCCGTATCTTAGATTCGTCCGCCAGCCTGGCATTCCCATCGAGACCGCTCGCCGGATATTCCGCCGGTTTTTGCGGTTCGATCCGTTGCGCGTGGAGGAGTACGTGGAGTTCTTGGTCGAAGCGCAGGAATGGCGCGAAGCGGCGGAGCGGCTCGCGTCGGCTTTAAACGACGAGAAATTCGTGTCGGTGCGCGGGAGAACGCGGCACCAGCTGTGGCTGCAGCTCTGTGATTTGCTCACGCGGCACGCGGAGGTGATGCACGGGGACGCGGGAGGCCGGGGGGGAGGCGGAGCAGTCGGAAGCGGAAGCGGAGGCGGAGGGGGGATAGGCGGAAGCGGAACCCTAAAAGTGGACGCGATTCTGCGAAGCGGAATTCGGCGGTTTTCACACGAGGTAGGGCGATTATGGACGTCCTTAGCGGATTATTACATCCGGCGAGGGCTGTTTGAGCGCGCTAGAGACGTGTACGAGGACGGATTAACTAGTGTGATGACGGTGCGCGATTTCAGCGTGGTGTTCGACGCCTTGGCGCAGTTCGAAGAGAGTATGCTGGCGGCCAAACTAGAGCTCACTGCTGGAGAGGAGGAGGAGCAGGAGGAGGAGGCGGAGGGGGAAGAGGAGGAAAAGGAGTGGTGGGAAGAGGAAGAGGACGGAGTGGCGGAGGGGGAGGAGGCGGGTGCAGGAGCAGAGGAAGCGGCGAGGAGAGAGGACGGGCAGGAGCAGCAGCAGGCAGAGGGTCAAGCAGACAAGGAGGGACAGCCCAAGGGGAAGAAGCTGACGAAACAACAACTGCTGAAGCTGCAGCAGCTCCACCAACAGCAGCAGCAGCAGCAGAAGGTACAAGACGGGGCAAATCTGGCCAAGAAGCAGCAGAAGAAGAAGCCGTTAGACTGGATGTTCCGAACAGCAGACGCGGATCTGCGCTTGGCGCGCTTAGAAGCCCTCATGGACCGCCGCCCCGAGCTCGTCTCCGCAGTCCTCCTCCGCCAGAACCCCCACAACGTGCACGAGTGGCATAAGCGTGCCAAGCTCTTCCAAACCAATCCTGAGCGTCAGATCCTGACCTACACCGAGGCTGTGAAGACCGTGGATCCGTTTCAGGCGGTGGGGAAGCCGCATACGCTCTGGGTGGCGTTTGCAAAGCTGTATGAGAAGCATGGGGACTTGGGGAATGCGAGGCGGGTGCTGGAGCGGGCCGTTCAGGCGCGGTTGAAAGCGGTGGAGGACGTTGCGGCGGTGTGGTGTGAGTGGGCGGAGATGGAAGTGCGGCATCATAACTTCCACGGGGCGAGGGAGCTGCTGAGGCGAGCAACGCTGCAGCCGTCAGTGGCTGTGCTGCGCCAAGGTGAGCGCTGCTGGGGGGTTGGGGTGCTGGGGGGCTGGGCGGGCGAGGGTTGTGAGGTGAGGGGAAGGAGAGAAGTGGTGTGAGTGGGCGGAGATGGAGGTGCGGCATCACAACTTCCACGGGGCAAGGGAGCTTTTGAGGCGAGCAACGCTGCAGCCGTCACTGGCTGTGCTGCGGCAAGGTGAGCGCTGCTGGCGGGTTGGTTCGTGATGAAAGGTTTAGGGATTGTGATTTGGAAGCTTGGAGAATACCTGATTGTTAGTATGCAGGAGCAGGAGCTACGGAGGCTTGGACAGTGTTTTTATGCAGATACAGGGGGGAGCGTGGGTTGAGTGTTGAGTTGATCGAAAATGGCACCGTGACCCTTAACATGCCTCTTTTCCCATTGCTCCCTCTGCTGCTGTCCATGCTGCTGACCACAGTAGCCGCTGCAGAAGGAGACAAGAGGCCGCAGTTGAAGGTATATTGGAGCCTCAAGGTGTGTGGATGCTGTATGTGAACCTGGAGGAGAGCCTGGGGACTCTTAACACCCTGCCTTTTCCCTTATTTCGTCCCTTTTTTGGAACTACAGTGGCGGCGGAAGGAGACAAGAGGCCACAGCTGAAGGTGTATCGCAGCCTCAAGGTGTGGACGCTGTACGTGGACCTGGAGGAGAGCCTGTGGAGGGGATTCATAACACCTTGACTTTTTCTTATATTTTGTTCCCTTTTTTTGAGCAAACAGCGGCGGCGGAAGGAGACGAGAGGCCGCAGCTGAAGGTGTATCGCAGCCTCAAGGTGTGGACGCTGTACGTGGACCTGGAGGAGAGCCTGGGCACTCTAGAGACCACCCGGGCGGTGTACGATCGAATCATCGACCTCAAGATTGCCACGCCTCAGATCATCATTAACTACGCACTCATGCTCGAGGTGAGTGAGTATGAGAGGGTGAGGAAGGTTAAGGCGTGGTAAGTGCAATGGAGTGTACCAGGCGGACTATAACCGAATCATTGATTTCAAGATCGCCACGCCCCAGATCATCATCAACTACGCGCTCATGCTCGAGGTGAGTGAGTATGAGAGGGTGGGGAAGGGGAAGGCGTGGTAAGTGCAATGGAGTGTACCAGGCGGACTATACCCGAATCATTGACCTCAAGATCGCCACGCCTCAGATCATCATCAACTACGCACTCATGCTCGAGGTGAGGTGCTCTTAGCCTTGCTTGAAGTGTCTGTGCCTCTTTGATAGTTTTGCGCTCTGTATGTGAGGCGCAGTCTCAATCTCAGGAGCACTAGTAGGTTGAGCACATTTTGAAGGTGTAGAGCTGTTTTGAGCCCACTCTCTTTAACCCTTTGATAACCTATCCTTCTCTTCTTCATACCGTGTGTGTATGTAACGCCTTGGCTCTTATTCCAACTTCCAACCCCAGGAGCACAAGTATTTCGAGGACAGCTTCAAGGTGTACGAGCGTGGAGTGAATATATTCAAGTACCCGCACGCGCGCGACATCTGGACCACCTACCTCTCCAAGTTCGTTCAGCGCTACGGAGGGAAGAAGCTGGAGCGGGCGCGAGATCTCTTTGAACAGGCTCTTGAGAGTGTGAGTGCCATGCCTCATTGTGCACGGGACTTGTTCGAGCACACACCCGCGAGTGTGAGTGCAGAGCGTTTGTTTGATTCAGACAGTTCTCTTGCGCTAAGCTTGCTTCCTCATGTTCCTCATGTGCAAGGAGTTTTGAGACGCCTCAAAACATGGCTGTGTGCAAGGAGCCAGTTTACGGACCACTTTTCTTTTCTTAGTTGGCTCAAACAGCAAGTGCAGGTACATCCCATTCTTTATTCCCCATACCCCCCTTCCCTTCTCCCCTTTCTATGTTACAGCGAACGATCGCAAGCCCCCGCGCTTACGCAGCAACAGGTTCCCAAGACACCAATATCCCAAACCTTAAACCCTGAATCCGTTCTCCCTCCCCAATCCTTTTGTCCCCCCCCCAGGCCCCAGCGACGGACTGCAAGCCACTCTACTTGGCCTATGCAAAGCTAGAGGAGGAGTATGGGCTGGCACGGCATGCCATGGCCGTGTATGAGCGAGCAGCACAGGCTGTGCCGGAGGAGCAGCGCATGGGCGTGTATGAGCTCTTCATTGCGCGGGCGGCTGAGCTGTTTGGGGTGGCCAAGACACGCGATATCTACGAGGTGCGTGGGGTGGTTAGGTTGAGGCAAAAGACACTTCAACAGTCACCGGAGGAGCAGAGGATGGGCGTGTGAGAGCTCTTTATTGCATGTGCTGCTGAGCTGTTTGGGGTGGCCAAGACATGCGATATCTACGAGGTGCGTGGGGTGGTTAGGTTGAGGCAAAAGACACTTCAACAGTCACCGGAGGAGCAGAGGATGGGCGTGTGAGAGCTCTTTATTGCATGTGCTGCTGAGCTGTTTGGGGTGGCCAAGACACGCGATATCTACGAGGTGCGTGGGATGTCGTCCGCTGGGTCATTAGTGGTGAAATGCAGTGGATTACCGTCCTCCTTGTTTAGCCCCGAATTTCTTACACCCCAGATTCCCAAATGTATGTGCATCTTTTATATGCCGCCATACCCCTCCCCCCATCTTCCCTCCCCTTCGTCTTATCCACTTCCCTCCCCTTCGTCTTATCCACTTCCCTCCCCAATCCCCTTCCTCACCACAGAGAGCCATCGAGTCTGGCCTACCAGACGCGGATGTGAAGCGCATGTGCCTGCGGTACGCGGCGCTGGAGAGGCGGCTGGGGGAGATCGACCGCGCGAGAGCCATCTTTGTGCACGCCAGCCAGCTGGCGGACCCGCGCTCCGACGGGGAGTTCTGGGAGGCGTGGAACGCGTTTGAGATCGCGCATGGGAATGAGGACACGTTCCGGGACATGCTTCGGATCAAGCGATCCGTTTCGGCTAGCTACAGCCAGGTGGGTGGGGCTGCTACAGGCGGGTGTGAGCTACAGCGGGGTGGGTGCTACAGGTACATGTGTTGTCAGGTTTAGGAAGTGTTGCCAACCCGCGGTCCGACTGGGAGTTCTGGGAGGCGTGGAACGCGTTTGAGATCGCTCACGGGAATGAGGACACGTTCCGGGACATGCTTCGGATCAAACAATCTGTATCGGCTAGCTACAGCCAGGTGCGTGAGGGTGTGAGGTGGGTTCTTCAGCCAACCAGATGAGTTGTTAGGTTTGTGAGTTGCTCGCTGACCCGCGGTCCGACGGGGAGTTCTGGGAGGCGTGGAACGCGTTTGAGATCGCTCACGGGAATGATGACACGTTTCGTGACATGCTGCAGATCAAGCGCTCCGTTTCTGCTAGCTACAGCCAGGTGAGTGGGGGTGCTACAGTCGGCGAGGTCGGTGGTACAGTCAGGTCGGTGAGGGAATGAGGACACGTTCCGTGACATGCTCAGGGTTGAGCGCTCTGTGTCCGCTAGCTACAGCCAGGTGGGTGGGGGTGCTAGGTGGGTGCCACAGCCAGGTGGGTGGCACAGCCAGATGGGTTGTTAGGTGGAGCCTCACGAGCAACACAGCCCCTCTTCTCATGTGTCACTTCTCCCCACCTTCTTTCTTCCCTGCCACTCCCCCCTCAACTCCCCGTTCCGAGTACCTCATGAGGTCAACACTCTCCTCTCATGTCTCGCCCTTGCCCACACTCTCTGTCCCTTCATCCCATCCCCACCGCATCTCACCCCTCTCCACGCCCACAGATGCACTTCATTCTGCCCGAATACCTCATGAAGTCAACCCCCTCCGTGCCCCGGGAAGGTGATACTGGCCGGGGCAGGGAGGGCGCACCTGGGGAAGGCTTACTTGACGTCCCAGCTGCTGGGGGGATGGATAGCATGGAAGCTTTAGAGCAGGCGGCTGCTGGGAAAGCTGCAGCAGGAGGAGCAGGGGAGGGGGCGGCGAAACCGCGCGTGCCCATGTTTGTGAGCGGAGGGACGGTTCAAGAGCAGGAGACAGGAGCAGGGGTGAAATCCCAACAGGCGAACCCGGAGGAGATTGAATTGGCTGATGAGGAGGAGGAAGAGGAGGAGGAAGGGGAGGAGGGAGAGGGAGAGGGAGGGGAGGGCAAGGGGAGGAGCAAGGTGGGGGTGACGCAGGTGTCGGTGCCTGCAGGGGTGTTTGGTGCTCTGGCTGGGAAGGCAGAGGAAATGGCGAAGAGAGAGAGGGAGGCGGCTGAGAAGGGCGGGGAGGAGGAAGGGAAGGAGGCGGCGCTGGGAGCGTTGGAGCGGTTTAAGAGGCAGAGGAAGCAGTAGGAGGGAAGATTGAAGGAGCAGCAACGGCTGGTTTTGAGAGATTTGAAAATGAAGAGGCAGAAGCGAAGCAATCGGAAGGAAGCAGCTGCAAGCAGCTGCAATGCGCGGTGACCGAGATATTTTGTTTCACCATTTTTCAAAGCACTGGGTCAGGGAGGGATGATGCGTGGTAGTTGTTGCCGTCTCTGCCTGCCGGTACGGTACTTGTGCTTTGGATTGGTGTCGGCAGCACTGATCCAAGCACCTGCTTGCCCTCCACTAGCTGTGCCCTGTTGCATTGCATAAGCCCAGCATGCAGCTAGCAGCAACATCTTACTAGAAGTCGGTTCAAGCTTGTTGAGGCGCCTACAAAATGCAGCTTGCACGATGCTCCTTGGAGTCGGTTCAGGCTTCAGCTTATTCTCTGGTGTCTGAGAGGGCCTGCCTTGGTACCAATACGGGGTCTCATCTCATCTCACATTTCATTTCTAGGCACTACCACGAAAGCAATGCTTGCATCCTCCAAATTCACATCACATGCTTCCCTACTGTTTACTGTAGGGTAGGCCTTTTCCCCAAACAACCTCACTGGTTAACAAATGACTTCTCAAAGTAAAATATACGGCATGGCAGGCATGCATCTCCTATCAGCTGGCTTCTCATGATGGGGTTGCACGTGGAAGGACTGTGCTGGTGTTAGCTCTACTTGTGAATCTACATCTACGATGTTACAGGAAGAACCTTCTCCTGCTTGTGTCCATGTCGTTCTGTCCAAGCAAAAAACATTAAGGAGGGATGAAGCTGTGAAGCGATGAAGGGTAGGCTGCCAGCGTTGCCATCAACACAGGTGTGTTACCCACTCGCACGAAAGAACTCACTACACCCAATCACACAAACCAACTCACTTTGTACCCCCACTCGCAACAACCTCACCTACACTCACCCGTACAGAGTAAGTCACCCTGCACACCCACTCACAGAAAGAAACTCACCTCCACTCGCAAAAAGGAACCCACATTGTACACCCACCATCACGAAGTGACTCACCTTGTACACCCACTCGTACTCTCCTCCCTTTGAGTCAAACGTCCCCCGCTGCACACTCATAAGCTTGAGAGTGAATCGCGGACCACACTCCTGCACTCACAGAGGCAGAGGAGGGAGGCGGAAGGAGGCGAGAGGAGGCAGGAGGTGGGAAAGACGACAGGGGAGAGAGAGAGAGAGGCAAGAATTTAGAAGGGGGGGAAAGCAAAGAAAAAAGAAAATACAATTCTTTCCAGATTTCAGATTTCCTGTATAGATTGGCATCCATGCGTAACGAGAGCACCAGTATCTGCTTGAGTGTGCAACTAGGACTACCCACGTGGGCACTTGAGGCAACTAAGCTGATTTTTTAGGCGCCTAAAAAATCTGGGCACTTGAGGCAACTAAGCTTCCAATCTCTCTCACCATCCACCCCTCCTCTCAACCCTCCTCAATATCATCTCACCTGCAGGCGCGTGAAAATGCCCAGAGAGGCGCCCAAGCTGCCAGTCTTCTTCCCTGCTGCCGCCGCCTCCGCCGCTTTCTTGCGCTTCAGCAGGCCCGCCCTCTCCTTCTCCTCCCTCGCCTTCTTCTTTCTCAACCCCAGCGACTCGTCTCTACTCTCCGGATCTTCGAATATGTACCTGGTGCATGCGAGGCCCGTAGTGCAATGTGAGTGTGTGAGAAGCACAGTGTGTGTTAGTGAGTGAGTGAATGTGTGTGTGTGTGTGTGCGCGTGCGCGCGCGCACATGTGTGTGTGTGTGTGTGTGTGTGTGTGTGTGTGTGTGTGTGTGTGTGTGCGTGCACGCGCGTGCATGTGTGTGTGTGTGTGCGTGTGTGCACGTGCTAAGCCACGCACCTGTGGTGGCGGAAGAAGATGAAATCGTGCTGGTTGTGCAGCGTGACCACCCTTCTGCCCTTCAACTCCAGCTTCATTGGTACAACTCAAATTCACTCACACAGTGTGTGTACGCGAGCGCACGCACGTGCGCGGATGCATGTGTGTGTGTGTGTGTGTGTGTGTGTTACCACACCACGCACCTGTGGTGGCGGAAGAAGATGAAATCGCGCTGGTTGTGCAGCGTGACCACTCTCCTGCCCTTGAACTCCGGGTCCTGCGGAAACAGAGACGCCAGCAGACTGGCAAAAGGGAGGGGGCGGGGGGGGATGCAACAAGGAGAAAGGGGAAGAAGGAGCGCAGAAGATTTCGGAATGAGGTGCCTGGGAGATTTTAGTGTTGACATCAACAACAATCACGCTAATGCGCAACCTCTCCCACACACTCACACCAACCAACACGCACGCACCGTCCCACTCGGTGTCCCAGGCGTGTGGAGAAGTTGTTGAGAATAAGCTCTGGGAGGTGCCCTGTTGCCCGCCCTGCATTCTGAATGTGGAGGGAGGGCAGAGACGAGGGGCAGGAAAGATGGAACAGGGGAGCTGTCAGTAACGGACAGGTGAGCTGCGGAGGTCCTATTTCCATCGATTCGTATGGTTCTTAGAAACGACGGGACAAACCCCATGGTACGGATGAAAGGAAAGTGGAGGGAGGGCGGAGACGAGGGGGGAAAGATGGAACAGGGGAAAAGGTGGAAAAGGAATGATAAGAAAATACTCTCGAGAAGTGAGGAGATGCGATGCCGCGCGTCCCAGAGCGTGTTTTTTGAGAATTCTCAAAAAACACACTCTAAATCTGAAATCTACAGCTCACGCTCATGCTTCAACGAGCCTCTGAACTTCACTCTCATTCATTCTCACTCACACTGCTGGTTCTCTAACCTTGATGCTTCCCTCGAAACGAGGCTGTAGAGAGCGCGAAGATACCACTTGTAGTGTTTTTTTCAACATTCAAGCATGTCCGCATTCACAACAAGAGACGCTGACAGGCGCGCTCACCTTGATGTCTTTCCTCAGGACGAGACTGGAGAGCTCAAAAGAAAAGAACCTACTGTAGTTTGTAGTTTGTTTCGACTCAATATCAGGGTCACGCACATACTGAATGCACTCTCAACATGAGACACACACAGGCGCGCTCACCTTGATGTCTTTCCTCAGGACGAGACTGGAAAGCTTGAAGAGAGCAGTGGGGCCTTCTGGCAGGCCGATGAGCATGAGTGCATCTGGTGGTGGTGGGGGGAGGGATGGGGGAGGTGGGGGGAGAGACAAGGGAGGTGGGATGGTGCTTGCATGCATCACTTGTGAGAGCTTGAAGAGAGCAGTGGGGCCTTCTGGCAGGCCAATGAGCATGAGTGCATCTGGTGGTGGGGGGGGGAGGGATGGGGGAGGTGGGGGGAGAGACAAGGGAGGTGGGATGGTGCTTGCATGCATCACTTGTGAGAGCTTGAAGAGAGCAGTGGGGCCTTCTGGCAGGCCAATGAGCATGAGTGCATCTGGTGGTGGGGGGGGGAGGGATGGGGGAGGTGGGGGGAGAGACAAGGGAGGTGGGATGGTGCTTGCATGCATCACTTGTGAGAGCTTGAAGAGAGCAGTGGGGCCTTATGGCAGGCCAATGAGCATGAGTGCATCTGGTGGTGGGGGGGGGAGGGATGGGGGAGGTGGGGGGAGAGACAAGGGAGGTGGGATGGTGCTTGCATGCATCACTTGTGAGAGCTTGAAGAGAGCAGTGGGGCCTTCTGGCAGGCCAATGAGCATGAGTGCATCTGGTGGTGGGGGGGGGAGGGATGGGGGAGGTGGGGGGAGAGACAAGGGAGGTGGGATGGTGCTTGCATGCATCACTTGTGAGAGCTTGAAGAGAGCAGTGGGGCCTTCTGGCAGGCCGATGAGCATGAGTGCGTCTGGAGAAGGAAGGAGGGAGGGCGGAAGGAGCGGGGAGAGCGGGATACAGGTCGGAAGTGGGACGAATTTTGCACCACGTTCAAGAGCCGAAGCCAGAGACAAAGCCAGAGAAGAAGTTGGATCGGATCTGAGAGGACGGAGACGTGCATGCATGGTCTAAGTGGTGCTTGGCTCGGCTCTCTCTCACTCCCTTGCAAAGCAAAAACCATTGGAATGGAAGGGAGTGCGAGCCGAGCAGCATTTGGAATGGTGCTTGGCTCGGCTCTCACTCCCTTCCAAAGAAAATACCACACATATGCAACGTTGTAGCGAAGCGAATGCATGAATGACTCTGGCTCTGACTCTGGCTCTGGGACACCGCACAGAGACACAGAGACGAAACGAAGTGCCAAAGGGCTGGCCAAACCAAACCGCTTGCCAGAACAGAACGTGTGAATCAGCAACCCACTTGGCTTGTTCCGATTCTCGTTGACCACAATCATTGCGGTGTAGTCCCTCGCTGATGCGTACTGCACTATCTGCACTCGCAAGGCACGGGAAAGGAGGGAGGGGAGGGAGGGGAGGGAAGGGTTTTGAGCCGACTCAAAAGCAGCTCCCTCGCTGATGCGTACTGCACTATCTGCACTCGCAAGGCACGGGAAAGGAGGGAGGGGAGGGAGGGAAGGGAGGGAAGAGAGGGAAGGGTAGGCGTTGGTATTGTGCTTTTGAGCCAACTCAAAAGCAGCTCCCTCGCTGATGCGTACTGCACTATCTGCACTCGCAACGCACGGGAAAGGAGGGAGGGAAGGGAGGGAAGAGAGGGAAGGGTAGGCGTTGGTATTGTGCTTTTGAGCCAACTCAAAAGCAGCTCCCTCGCTGATGCGTACTGCACTATCTGCACTCCCAGCAAGGGGAAGGGAGGGAGGGGTAGGCGTTGTTGATCGTGCTGTAGCCCTGTGGTCATGTGCTGATCCATATTGAACTATCTGCACTCGCAGGAAGGAGGAGGGTACGGAGGGGTAGGCGTTGTTGATCGTGCTGTAGCCCCGTGGTCATGTGCTGATGCGAACTGAACTCGTTGGAAGGAGGAAGAAAAAAAGAGGGGTAGGGGGCTAGTCACGGGACCTAGTGATGTTTTAAACAAAAAACAAGAGACGGGAAAGTAAAGAGGGGAGACAGGAAATGAGATGGGAAAGCAAAGAGAAGAGATTGGAAAGAGAAGCATGCAGAAGATAGAGCAGCACTGCACGCACCTCCCCTCGTGCCTCACATGCACCTCCCCTCGTGCCTCACACGCACCTCCCCTCGTGCCTCACATGACACGCACCTCCCCTCGTGCCTCACATGACACGCGCCTCCCCTCGTGCCTCACATGACACGCACCTCCCCTCGTGCCTCACATGACACGCACCTCCCCTCGTGCCTCACATGACACGCACCTCCCCTCGTGCCTCACATGACACGCACCTCCCCTCGTGCCTCACATGACACGCACCTCCCCTCGTGCCTCACATGGCACGCACCTCCCCTCGTGCCTCACATGACACGCACCTCCTTGATGCGATATTGCCGCCTCTCATAGTACTCCGACCCTGGAATGACCACTAAAAGCTCCTTGATAAACTGCTTCATTGTCTGCGAAGATAGAACGCAACGAAGTAAAAAAAGGCTAATGATAAAAAAAAGGGGAAAGACAAGCGCCTAATGATAATGAAAAACAAACTGGAGATGTCAGGCACATGACACGACATGACACGGCTGCGCCACCACACCATTTGACGGCACGAGACTTCCAGGAAAATGAAAAAGAAACGGAATGCCAAACAAAAAAAAGGTAAAAGTGCAGCAAAAAATGGCATACCGGGTGTATCCGTTGGCATGTGGTGATGAGCACTTTGGGCGGCCTCTCTCGGTTGAAGTGCGGCGCGAACTCGTCCTGTGCCTCGTCTGCATGTAGCTGTGATGTTCCATGGGGGGTCATGGGGGGTAGTGGTGGGTGAGGAGGGAGGGAAGGGGGAGGGGAAGGGGGTTCTCTTCATGAGGCGAGGGTAAAACAAGTGCGGGGTAAACTCGTCCTGCCTGCTCCTCTCCTCTTCTGCATGTAGCTGTGGTGTTGCCATGGGGAGTAGTGGTGGGAAGAAGAGGAGGGGGGTTGGGACGGGAGGTCTATTCATGAGGCGCCTGGAAAAACAAGTGTGGGGGAAACTCGTCCTGTGCTCGTCTGCATGTAGCTGTGATGTTCCATGGGGGTCATGGGGGGTAGTGGTGGGTGAGGAGGGAGGGAAGGGGGAGGGGAAGGGGGTTCTCTTCATGAGGCGAGGGTAAAACAAGTGCGGGGTAAACTCGTCCTGCCTGCTCCTCTCCTCTTCTGCATGTAGCTGTGGTGTTGCCATGGGGAGTAGTGGTGGGAAGAAGAGGAGGGGGGTTGGACGGGAGGTCTATTCATGAGGCGCCTGGAAAAACAAGTGTGTGAGAAACTCGTCCTGTGCTCGTCTGCATGTAGCTGTGATGTTCCATTAAAGGGGGGGGGCGGGGGGAGAGTACGGAGAGGGAGACAGGAAGGGGAGTGAGGGAGGAAAGAGGAGAGACGAGAGAGGAGGGATGACGAAGGAGGAGGGAGGAGGTGAGAGGAAGACGGAGGAGGAGAGAGTAGGAGGGAGGAAGAGAGAGGAGGGAGGAGGAGAGAGGAGGAGGGAGGAAGAGAGAGGAGGGAGGAGGAGAGAGGAGGGAGGGTGGAGTGCGGGATGAGAAAAATGTTGTGATGAGATGATTCATTCATGACAGTAATCATCCGTTCGCATTGCATTAATCATTAAAGAACTGCGATTCACCAACCAACCCATCTGCCTTCCTTCTAACTTCCCCTTCATTATAGTCACGCTCATCACCGTCAGACGACACGGCAGTCTCGTCCACCTCTCCAGGTGACCTTCAGAACGACTCATCAAACCACCTCGCTACAATGCCATAGTCACACACATACGCCAAACTCCTCCCCCGTTATAGTCACCTCGTCGTCGTCGGGCTGCGCTATAGTCTCGTCCACCTCCCGCGTGCTGTCGATGGTGCGAGCTACCTTCCGCGGTGGGGCCTGCAGGGTTTAAGATTCAAGCAGGGTTCTGAATGATGAACACAGATCCCGAAACCCGAAATCCAGAGATTGGCGAGGCGATAATTAAACAGTCAGTCTGCTGCCGCAATGTGAGAAACCTCTGTGCCCATTGCCTCCCCCCCACGCCTGTCTTCAAAATTCCCCCGTCCTGCTGCTTAAACCCCAACCATTGCTCCCTCCGACATACCGCTTCCCCAAGCGCTACTGCGCGTTCCTCCTCTTGCCGCCGCCGCTTCAGCCGCTGCTTCTTCCCCTTCTCCTTCTCCGCGCGAAGCTTCGCCGTCACTGCCGACCGCTTCTGCTTGTTCTTAATCTGCGACGGCAGCAATCTCGCGGGCAAAATCTCTCCGGCAGCAGCATCTCGACTGCCGCCACGTGGAAGCGAACCCTCGTCATTCCGATTGCCACGTGGACGCGATCCCGCTTCGCTCTGCTTTCCACGTGGGCGAGAATCGTCGTCGTTCGGATTGCTCTGCTGGCCTTCCCGATCCTGCTTCTTGGTTGTCACAGCTGCGGTTTTCTTGCTAACCTTGATGCCTTTGCTCTTATCTTTCTCTTTTCGACTGCGATTTCCATTTCCACTACCATCGGCCGCCATGTTGTGCGACAGGCGCGGCGGCTGGGTAATTACGAAAGTTCGACTTGCGATCTTTCAGTCATCTGAATTGTCGGCAGCTTCAAGGATGTCAAGGTGAGGGTAACAGGGAGGCATTGATCTCTCATGGATGGGGCATGGGAGTTTTTTTTGACAGGTTGGGTTTGGGGAAAACGAGGGCAGGAGTTTCGCACAGTAATGCTGTAACATTGCGAGGTGCGTCTGATATACATAAATGCACATCTCAATAACATGGTACATTCAAATCATAAGACAAGGCAATGCACTCAGACATGTACAATAAATTGCCACCGCACAAGATGCCACGTACAGCCACTACAAGATTGCAAACCTAGCACCAAGTGGAGTTGATATACCACACCTGACACAAAGCAAGAAATAAATAAGCAACAGCAGCGTACGGAGAGAACCGACGATAGCACAGCGACTTCATCAACTTTGCTTCAATCAACGGCCTGGATCATGCTTTGAGCCTTCGTCAGTTCCATTTGTAAACTCTGATTGGTTGAACGATGTGCCTTCGTACACATCAAACGTGTCTGCGTCATAAAACGGCTCGTCCTCGTCACATTCAATATTGCGAGCAATGCTCCATGCCACACCCTGAAACAATGTAACATTGACAAGCAAAAGTACCACATATTATGGGAAGGCGCACGTTGCACAAGAGGCATTCCCTGTAGGCTGGAGGCACCTGTTGGCACATGCATGACTGCATGGAAGGAAATGTGCACGATCGTATGCAAGGTTACATGTATGATTAGATGCAATATTGCATGCATAACTACATACAAAACCACAAGCAGGATTGCATGCATGATTCAAGTCTACCTACATGCAAGTATGCCTACATGCAAGTCTACCTACATGCAAGTATGCCTACATGCAAGTCTACCTACATGCAAGTATGCCTACATGCAAGTCTACCTACATGCAAGTATGCCTACATGCATGACTGCACACATGTATGGACTCACGAGGTTATAGAGGTAGATGAAGTGCTTGAAAGGGTTCATCCATGGCTTCGCCTTGATCGCAGACATGCCCCCACTCACTTCCTCTCCCTCCTCCTCCAACTCCCTGTGGGCACCACCAGGCACAACGGGGAACGTGGGGGAGTCAACGACAAAGGAGAAGAGGAATTTGAGTCGACTAGAAGTTGCCCCCACTCACTTCCTCTCCCTCCTCCTCCAACTCCCTGTGTGCACCACCTGGCAGAACCAGGAACCCCGGGAAATCAAGACAAAGGAAAGCGGAGAGCAAAGGAAACACCAAAGTGGCCGGGCTGGTCCTCAAGGTGCCACTTTTCAGAATTCTTCAAAGTGACCCTCATGGTGTAGAGGCAGCAGGCGAAGCCGCGAAGAGGCAATCGCAGAGACCAGATGGATGGATATGAGGTTGCAGCAGGTTGTTTTTGAGAAATTAGACAAACACCCTCCTGCGACAATTGCAGAGACCAGATGGATGGATACGAGGATGGGCCGAGTGACGTGCATGAGGGAATCCAGGCTGAGGAAACAAAAAAGGCCTTCTGGAAAACGTATGCGAAACAGGCGAAGGTGGCTCTCTTGTCTATGGTGCTTTTTGGGAACACATGACACACCTCTATGCCAGGCATCAAAACAAAAGCAGGACATTTTTTACTTATTGGGAAGGTGGTGGCGGCAGAGCAGCATGGCAAGGTGCATGAGGCAGGCGTAAGGTGGTGTGATGTGGTGTTTCCTCAGGGCACACCACATGCCTCTCAGTCACGTGTGAAAGAGAAACAAAGAAAGGGAAGAAAACACCTGCTTCGTGGCGAGGTGGCCGCGGTAGAGCAGGACACCAAGGTAAATGAGGCAGGCGTAAGGTGGCTTGCTGTTGTGCTCCCTCAAGTCACACGCCATACCTCCCAGAAAGATATGAAGAGAAGAGGCAAAACAACATACTTGATGGTGAGGTGGCCGCGGTAGAGCAGCACGCCAAAGGTACATGAGACAGGCGAAGGTGGCTTCCTGTGATGCTCCCTCAAGGCACACCACATACCTCTTAGGCAGATGTGCAAGTAAAGAAACAACAAACAAGAAGATAAGGAGAACCCACTTCTTGGCAAGGTGGCCGCGGTAGAGCAGCACACCGAGGTACATGAGGCAGGCGAAGGTGGCCATGGCAGCGTAGAGAATGAACAGGTTCTGAAACCCCTCCACTCCCAGACTATCCGATGATTGCCCGCTGGCGTCCCCACTGCACGTCAGGTTGTTCTGTTGGAGGGGGGGGTTCAGGGCAGAGGCAAGGAGGTGAAGAGGTCAGGTTAACATGGTGGTGCACGTGCAAGCTGAGGTCAGAATGACATGCCCTGAGAGCCCTCCGCTCCCAGGCTATCCGATGATTGCCCGCTTGCGTCCCCACCGCACGTCAGGTTGTTCTGTGGGTGGTTTTGGTTTAGAGGGCGGAGGCAAGAAAGGAGAAAGCTCAGATTTGACTCAGCATGGAAGCAGAATGAATGACATGCCCGGAAACCCTTAAAGGCACACCCTTGCTTACATCACTCCGATGCAGTCACATCACTCCGACCAGGCTCATCACCCATTAAAGGCACACCCTTGCTTACAAGCGCAAGGACACTTGCAGCACATCGATACTTACAGGCCCGTGGACACTCACAGGCACATGGACACTCACAGGCACGTAGTTGCTGTGGATGGTTCGCAGCTGGCCTGTTTCGCTCAGCTGGGCGATGGCCTTGCTCAGATCAACGGCCAGATTTGACCCCTTCTGAAAAGCCTGGTGAATGAAAGGGGTGCCGGGTTGATTCAAGGGGGTTGAAGAGGGATGAAGAGGGGTGGAGAGGGTTGAAAGTTGGAGGGGTTGAAGAAGGGTGGAGGTGTCAGCTTTCCCCCCCCCCCCCACCCCCCCGGGAACGAGCATTCCTGGTCTGGTGGTGCAATCTGGTACTTAACATGGTCCTCTTGCCTAAGACCATACAGCAGCAGCAAAACCCACTGACTGCTGCACTCAGGAAGGCCCATGCGAGGGTGGAGATTCTGCTTCCCCCGACTTTTGAGGCGCCTCAAAAGAGATTCTGCTTCTCCCGTGGTGAATGTGCAGTCCTGTGATAGAATGAGGACTAGGAAGGGTCGCTCGTCCACCACGCCCTTCTTTGAGCCAACCCCCAGACTGCTCAAAGACCAGTCAAAGGCTGCGGGGCGAGCGCTTCGGCGACCTCCCGCGCTCCGTTGACCGCCTCCTTCGCGACGGCGAGCGCTCCCGCCGCGAGTACGTCAGCTGCATGCGCAGTTCATGACGATCCATCAAGCCGCTTTTCTCTCGTCTTGTGAGAGATTCAGCTCCCACAGGCTGGGTTGGGTACCAATAGTGGCGTAGTCACCTAGCTGCTTGTAGCTTGAGTCAGCAACGTAAATCCACTATGCAATGGTAAACAAGACGAGAGAACAGGTCTGCTATGCTCGGCTAGGCTTCTTAAGCTTGTCTACCCAGTCGCGAGATTCTCAGCTTGATCGGTTGACCTCGAGCCGATTTTTTAGGCGCCTTAAAAAAAGATTCTCAGCTTGATCGGTTGACCTCGAGCTGCCTGGGCCTTGGGTTGGCCTTTTGCCAGATTCCCTGTCTCCCGACGTCCCTGAAATTGTCCCCGAAGCGCTCTGTAACACCCAATACTACCAGCTTCTCGCTTCTCCCAATAACCCAACGCTCACCCTGACTCATGTTTCGAAGGGCTGCAGTAGCAGAGAGGACGCTTAAGCAAAGGAACAAACAGTGAAAACTGGTGAAAAAAAGCGCAGATCTGAAAAACCCTTAGCTTCCGAAAAGCCTCCTTGCGTAAACTAGTTTCGGCGGATGGGCGAACCCAATCACGCCTTCATCAGTACAGCACAATTCGGAACATGAGTCAGGGTGTTCCCTGTCTCCCGAGGTCCCTGAAATTGTCCCCGAAGCGCTCTGTAACACCCAATACTACCAGCTTCTCGCTTCTCCCAATAACCCAACCCAACTACCCCACCGAGCAATTAAACAACAATTGCTAGACCCTTCTACACCCCAATTAGCACATGTACTGAATGGGATGCTCTTACCATTATATTCTGTGACAAATAGAATGAGGTCCAAGAAAGGTCGCTCATCCACCACGACCTTCTTTTAACCAGACCCCAGACTGTTCAAAGACCACTCAAAGACCACAACAACGCACGGGTGGGTATGGCACTCACAAAGGCCCATCCGAGGGTGGAAATATCGGCGTCCCCCGTGGTGAATGTGCAGTCTTGCGTGAGAATGAGATCCAGGAAGGGACGCTCGTCCACCACCCCCACGACGGTGCCGTTCAGCATGGCCTCTGCGTACTCGTTCACACTGTTGAGTGGCTGCAGCTGCTTCTGTTAAGGTCAAAGGAAAGGAGGAAGGAGTGTGAGCAGCATGAGGTGCACAAGTGTGAGCAGCATGGGGTGTGCAGTGCTCACAGCCCACCACCACCCCCCCCACCACGGTGCCGTTCATCAGCATGGCTTCCACGTACTCGTCCACACTGTTGAGTGGCTGCAGCTGCTTCTGTTGGAGGGAAGCAGAGGACAGGGGCGGAAGGAGAGGACAGGGGCGGAAGGAGAGGACAGGGGCGGAAGGAGAGGACAGGGGCGGAAGGAGAGGACAGGGGCGGAAGGAGAGGACAGGGGCGGAAGGAGAGGACAGGGGCGGAAGGAGAGGACAGGGGCGGAAGGAGAGGACAGGGGCGGAAGGAGAGGACAGGGGCGGAAGGAGAGGACAGGGGCGGAAGGAGAGGACAGGGGCGGAAGGAGAGGACAGGGGCGGAAGGAGAGGACAGGGGCGGAAGGAGTGTGAGTGGCACGAGGCACACACACTGTTCACAGTCCGCCATTCACAGTCCGCCATTCCCACCATCAGCATGGCTTCCGGTGGCCCGTCCATGCTGTTGAGTGGCTGGAGCAGCTTCTGTTGGGGATAGAAACAAGGAGGGAGTGTGAGTGAGTAACATGAGTCACGCACACCACTCGCAGCGCACTGTTCACATCCCCGTCATTCAAAGCCCACCATCCCCATCACAGTGCTGTTCAGCCAGCATGGCTGCTGTGTACTCATCCACGCTGTTGAGTGGCTGAAGCTGCTTCTGTTGCGGATAGAGAGAGTCAAGGAGGAGGAAGGAGTGAGTGAGTGGCGTGAGGCACAGACACCGTTCAAAGCTCACCATTCAGATCCCACCGTTCAAAGCTCACCATTCAGATCCCACCGTTCAAAGCTCACCATTCAGATCCCACCGTTCAAAGCTCACCATTCAGATCCCACCGTTCAAAGCTCACCATTCAGATCCCACCGTTCAAAGCCCACCATTCAGATCCCACCGTTCAAAGCTCACCATTCAGATCCCACCGTTCAAAGCTCACCATTCAGATCCCACCGTTCAAAGCCCACCATTCAGATCCCACCGTTCAGAGCCCACCATTCAGATCCCACCGTTCAAAGCCCACCATTCAGATCCCACCGTTCAAAGCTCACCATTCAGATCCCACCGTTCAAAGCTCACCATTCAGATCCCACCGTTCACAGCTCACCATTCAGATCCCACCGTTCAAAGCTCACCATTCAGATCCCACCGTTCAAAGCTCACCATTCAGATCCCACCGTTCAAAGCTCACCATTCAGATCCCACCGTTCAAAGCTCACCATTCAGATCCCACCGTTCACAGCCCACCATTCAGATCCCACCGTTCACAGCCCACCAATCAGATCCCACCGTTCAAAGCTCACCATTCAGATCCCACCGTTCAAAGCTCACCATTCAGATCCCACCGTTCAAAGCTCACCATTCAGATCCCACCGTTCAAAGCTCACCATTCCGATCCCACCGTTCAAAGCTCACCATTCAGATCCCACCGTTCAAAGCTCACCATTCAGATCCCACCGTTCACAGCTCACCATTCAGATCCCACCGTTCAAAGCTCACCATTCAGATCCCACCGTTCACAGCCCACCATTCAGATCCCACCGTTCACAGCCCACCATTCAGATCCCACTGTTCACAGCCCACCATTCAGATCCCACCGTTCACAGCCCACCGTTCAGATCCCACCGTTCACAGCCCACCATTCAGATCCCACCGTTCACAGCCCACCATTCAGATCCCACCGTTCACAGCCCACCATTCAGATCCCACCGTTCACAGCCCACGATTCAGATCCCACCGTTCACAGCCCACCATTCAGATCCCACCGTTCACAGCCCACCATTCAGATCCCACCGTTCACAGCCCACCATTCAGATCCCACCATTCACAGCCCACCATTCAGATCCCACCGTTCACAGCCCACCATTCAGATCCCACCGTTCACAGCCCACCGTTCAGATCCCACCGTTCACAGCCCACCATTCAGATCCCACCGTTCACAGCCCACCATTCAGATCCCACCATTCACAGCCCACCATTCAGATCCCACCGTTCACAGCCCACCATTCAGATCCCACCGTTCAAAGCTCACCATTCAGATCCCACCGTTCACAGCTCACCATTCAGATCCCACCGTTCAAAGCTCACCATTCAGATCCCACCGTTCACAGCCCACCATTCAGATCCCACCGTTCACAGCCCACCATTCAGATCCCACTGTTCACAGCCCACCATTCAGATCCCACCGTTCACAGCCCACCGTTCAGATCCCACCGTTCACAGCCCACCATTCAGATCCCACCGTTCACAGCCCACCATTCAGATCCCACCGTTCACAGCCCACCATTCAGATCCCACCGTTCACAGCCCACCATTCAGATCCCACCATTCACAGCCCACCATTCAGATCCCACCGTTCACAGCCCACCATTCAGATCCCACCGTTCACAGCCCACCGTTCAGATCCCACCGTTCACAGCCCACCATTCAGATCCCACCGTTCACAGCCCACCGTTCAGATCCCATCACTCACAGCCCGTTCAGGCTGGGGACTCACTTTGCGAACACCAAAGCCCAGCAGGTGCTGCTCGGAGAAGGATCTGATAAGCCTTTAGAGGCGACCCAGAAGGAGGTGACTTGTGAGTCGACTCAAGCGTCACTGCATTGAGCCCTGGGCAGGAAGGGACTTACCCTGCGGACGCCAAAGCCCAGCAGGTGCTTCTCGGAGAAGGATCCGTTGAGATAGCCCACAACGGAGCCCGATGTGATCACTGCTGCCAGGGACTGACACAGGGCGAAGGGAGGGGCGAGGGGCGAGGGGCGAGGGGCGGAGGGGGGGGGGGGGAGGGATTCATGAGCAGTTGTGAGTCGTGACGCCTCAAGAGCCGTTGAGATGGCCCACGCCGGAGCCCGATGTGATGACTGCTGCAAGTGACTGACACGGAGCACAGGGAGGGAGGGGCAAGGGGTGGGAGAGCGGGGTTCGGGTTTTGAGACGTTGTGACGCCTCAAGGTCCGTTGACATAGCCCACGCCGGAGCCCGATGTGATGACTGCTGCCAGCCAGGGACTGGAACGTGGGGGCGAAGCTTGTTGGCAAAAGGTGAGATACGAAGCATTGGAATGCCACAGCAGCCGCTGAGATAGACCCACCATGGAGCCCGGTGTGATCACTGCTGCCAGCCAGGGACTGCCATGAGGCACTGGGACGAGGGTTGGGGGGGTCGAGGAGCGAGTGGCAAGTTGTGAGTGACGATGGTTTTGAGACGTTTTGTATTAGATCAGGTTGAATACTCTGCAAGTACTGTACACAACACGTACTGTACTAGTGTGCATAACTTGCTGGAAAAGTAAGTAGCATACCTGTACAGGGGGAGTGAGGTTGTTAACAGTGAGGATGGAGGTAAGATTGGCGGTGTAACTGCAGGTGACGATGAGAACCACAAAGAGCCACGAAATCACCACGAAGCGGCCCAGCACTGTGCCCACGTGCTGCTCTGTAAGGGGGTTGAACGGTCATACGCACAAGCACATGACGTGAAATTAGCACAAGAAGAAGCAAAGGGACGTGTGGATATGGCATGGCATGATATTATATGATATGATATGATTACATGATTATTGTATACGAACGCAGCACACCCATCATCAAACATATGCATAACATGGAAATGTCTTAAACTCGTAAGCATGAAGGGTGGAGAAGTAAGAAGACGAGCATTAGTTTATGGGTTATGGGACAACCCAACAAATATCGTGGAATGAACAAAAAGTGCAGTGCAGTGGTATCAGAGCAAGTACCTTGTGAGCGAACCATGCTAGCAAAGGAAAACCTGAAGGGGATAATCACAGGGAAGGGGAAGGGTAGGTGGAGAAAACAAATGGAGTGGGAAATGAAATCTGCAGCAAAGATGGCCAAATCGCTCAATGGCACCAAGTCAGGTATTCAATGAATGCAAGGGCTGACCCGGCAAAGGGAGCGTCTAGTTCAGTTTGCTATAAGAATATGTACTGTCTGTATCTACATATATATATATATAGATATATAAACACGCGAGCCAGTGCTTACCAGAGGCTGGTGGTGAGCTCGTGGTGGTTGTGCTCGAGGTACCAGATGACAGCAGCGGTGAAAGACTACAGAGGTGATCATGAGCGCTGGCAGGCGCTCTATACACACCAAAGGTATCGAGTGCACCGGATTCTGGGCGAAATGCTGTGCGAAACGAACAGCCCACGCCACGTGCTGAGCTCCATTCCACGCCACCTCAACTGACACTCACCAGAGGCTGGTGGTGAGCTGGTGGTGGTACGGCCCTCCGCCGAAGTCCAGGTTCTGGTTGTGCTCGACGTACCAGATGACAGCCGCGGTGAAGACTATGGATGCGATCATGAGCGCTGGCACAGGCTGCTGACCTCCCAACCAGAGCTTGACTCATCTCAGCCAAGCACTCACCAGAGGCTGGTGGTGAGCTGGTGGTGATACGGCCCTCCGCCAAAGTCAAGGTTCTGGTTGTGCTCGAGGTACCAGATGACAGCCGCGGTGAAGACTATGGATGCGATCATGAGCGCCCACATGCTCCCTGTGAACGGGTACAGGAACGCCCAGGGGTTGGCTGGGTCGCCCTGCAGCACCGGCACCACCAGCCCCAGCCCTGACTCCTGCGTTTCAGAAATGTTGGCGTAGGGAGGCGGGGCGAGGAAGAGAAGGAGGGAAAGGGTGAGGCATTGTCAGGGGCTAAGGGGTGGGGTCGGCCTGTAGGTACCAGACCAGATGACAGCGGCGGTGAAGACTATGGAGGCAATCATGAGCGCCCACATGCTGCCTGTGAACGGGTACAGGAACGCCCAGGGGTTGGCTGGGTCGCCCTGCAGCACCGGCACCACCAGACCCAGCCCTGACTCCTGTGATTCAAGGGCGAAGAGAGAAGGGAAGAGAGAGAAGGGATGCTAGGGGTAGTAAAGGGAAGAGAGCTCAGGGGTTGGCCGGATCGCCCTGCAGCACTGGCACCACCAGACCCAGCCCTGACTCCTGTTGGGACAGGCAGGCAGGGCGAGCAGGAAGTAGGATGGAAGAAGACGCAGCCCCAGCCCTGACTCCTGTTGGGGTGGGTGGGTAGGCAGGGCGCGGACGAGAACGAGCCAAGGGATAAATGATCAGTCTAGAGTTAGCGCCGCGAAAGTCTGGCAATCTTGGGGTGAGAAAGGAGATTTAGACAAGTGCAGTGGAGAATAAGAAGGCTGTCATGACTCGACCATGAAGTCAGTCTTGTCGTCACCTCACCATAACTATTATGATGCTACAATCACCAGGCTGTGCCTGTGCAGTTGGATGCGGTTACCAGCAGCATGCGATTACCACCATCAGTGGCTGTGCAGTTACCACAGATGGTTGCCAGAATGTGGTTACCATATAGTTACCACTAAGCTGTTACCATTAATGAAGCTGTTACCATGCAGCTGTTACCACATGGTTACCATGAAGCCGTTACCACATGGTTATTATGAAGCCGTTACCATATGGTTATCATGAAGCCGTTACCATATGGTCATGAAGCCGTTACCACATGGTTATAATGAAGCCGGTACCATATGGTTTTCATGAAGCCGTTACCACATGGTTTTCATGAAGCCGTTACCACATGGTTTTCATGAAGCCGTTACCACATGGTTATCATGAAGCCGTTACCACATGGTTATCATGAAGCCGTTACCACATGGTTTTCATGAAGCCGTTACCACATGGTTATCATGAAGCCGTTACCACATGGTTATCATGAAGCCGTTACCATATGGTTATTATGAAGCCGTTACCACATGGTTATGATGAAGCCGTTACCACATGGTTATAATGAAGCCGTTACCATATGGTTTTCATGAAGCCATTACCACATGGTTATCATGCAGCCGTTACCACATGGTTATTATGAAGCATTACCATATGATTATTATGAAGCCGTTACCACATGGTTATCATGAAGCCATTACCACATGGTTACCATGAAGCGGTTACCATTTGCTTACCATGAAGATGCGGTTACCATGCGGTTACCATGAAGGGCTGTGTGAAGTCCACGATCTGAGCGCGGTCTGCTGTGACTGTGATGTCGCCCACCGCCCCGTCATACTCCTGAAGGGGAGGTCGGAAATGAGGCCGAGAGGGGTGAGGGGGAGCGGGGAGGGGAAAAGGGGGAAGGGAAAAAGGGGAAAGGAAAAGGATTAAGCTAGACAGGGGAAGGGGTAAAGGGGGAAAGGGGGAAAGGGGGGAGGGGAGAAAGGGGAGGTTCCCATCTTGTCTTCAGCCTTGCCTCCCCTCTGTCTACTACATCACTCCCACTCTCGCAGCCACCTTGCTCGCGACACGCCGAATCAGATCCTCGTAGGAGCTCCCCTGGAAGTCATAGAGCACGAGGGAGAACCCCACCCCACCCCACCCCACCCCACCCCAGACCATCACACCCACTGGCTACAAACAACAGCAAGCAGCCACTGCTCTATGCCTTCCCTCCCTCTCGCCCGCCCACCTTGTTGGCGACTCGCCGAATGAGGTCCTCGTAGGAGCTCCCTGTAAAAGTCATACGCCACCAGCGAGTACCCCACTGGGTACGGCAGCAGCGCCATGACCCTTCGTCTCTCCTCACCTTGCTTCCCACTCCCATCCCACGCGCCCGCCCACCTTGTTGGCGACGCGCCGAATGAGGTCCTCGTAGGAGCTCCCCTTGAAGTCATAAGAGAGTACCCCACAAGAGAGTACCCCACAAGAGAGTACCCCACCCACCGTTCACAGCAGCAAGCAACCATGACAGCCTGCCGCCCCCCTCGCTCACGCGCACCTTGTTGGCGACACGGTGAATGAGGTCCTCGTAGAAGCTCCCCCTGAAGTCATATGCCACGAGTGAGTACCCCACTGGGTACGGCAGCAGCGCCATGGCTCGCTGAAACACCTCCACACATAAGCCTGAGAAGTTGCCATCTGGAGTGCGGCTCACATACTGCTCCACAGCCTGGGGAAGAGGGGAAGGGCAGGAGAGGAGGTGAGACTCGAAAAACGTCTCGCAAGACAAAGTGCCATAGCTCGTTGAAACACCCCCACACAGAGCCCTGATTGCAGTCTGAAGTGCGGCTCACATACTGCTCCACAGCCTGGGGAAGAGGGCGGGGAAGGGTCAGGAACGGGAAGAGGGGGAAGGGGAGGGGAGTGGGGTGGGAGAGGAGAGGTTAAAGCACTCGAAAGGTATCAGAAAGAAGAAGCGCCATGGCTCGCTGAGACACCTCCACACAGAAGCCTGAGATGTTCCCATCTGCAGTGCGGCTTCCATACTGTGATACAGCGGTCGGGTAGGCAGCACGGGAAGGGGGGAAGGGAATGCGGCAAAGGTGCAGCTGATTCATATGGACGAAGGACTTGCAGAAACATCGATCAATGTCACTTTGGAGAAACTTCGGAAGTGGGTTTGATGCAGACGAGAAACCGGGGAGAGGGGAGGATGGATAATCATGATAGGATACAGACGGAGTGACGACGAGACGAAGGGGCTTACCGAAGGGCCGAACGGGACTGCAATGCGTAACGCCTTGCCTTTGGATGGTAACCAGCCACGGGGGAACTGAGAGAGGGGAGGAGCGAAGAGGTGAGAGGATGGAGAAGAGCTATTGTATAGAACAGACTTGCAATGCGTAGAGCCTTGCCTCGGCCACAAGGGAATTGGGAGAGGGGGGGAGAACGGGGAATCAAGAGGATGGGGGAAAAGGTTAGAGAATGGGAGAAAAGTTGCTGCTCCGAATCAGATGAACTAGCAAGCCACGTTCGTCTATTAATCATTCTTGGGCTTTGCAGGGTCGTTAAAGTGGAGATTATAATCGAGCACAGGCGCGTAAAGCATGGATCCACTTGGAGGCGATTTCACTTTATTTTGCATCGAAGAAACGTTACCTTGAAAAGGTGTTACCTTGAAGAGGTGTTACCTTGAAGAGGTGTTACCTTGAAGAGGTGTTACCTTGAAGAGGTGTTACCTTGAAGAGGTGTTACCTTGAAGAGGTGTTACCTTGAAGAGGTGTTACCTTGAAAAGGTGTTACCTTGAAGAGGTGTTACCTTGAAGAGGTGTTACCTTGAAGAGGTGTTACCTTGAAGAGGTGTTACCTTGGAGAGGCATCACCTTGGAGGTATTGCCAGGCCACACAGCAGGCTTGAGGGTGGTGTTGGATGGCTCTTTCGACTGGCAATGAGATGCACGGAGGGGAGGGGGAGGAGAACAGATTAATGAATCGCCTCATTGAACAGGCTTGAGGTTGGTGTTACATGCCTCGCGCGACTGTGCAACGGGATGCATGGAGGGAGGGGTGGGGAAGTAGAACAGGGTGCAAAGCTATTGAGTCACCCAAAAGCCACTCGAATGGAAACACAATCAATGCAAGGAGGGGTGCGCAAGGCAAGCGTTGCGTTTCGCATGTGCAGGCAGAGAGGAGAGGGCTACTCACAGGGGCAGCAGGAACAAGGCCCTTGCCTTGCTCCCAATAGCCGAGGGTTTCAAAGGTTGAGGCCACCAAATTGACCACCTTATAGCTCGCTCATTCTCTCCACAGCAATGACCCAGAGACAGCACAGAGGTTTGGACCAGCACACGTGCCTGCAGGAAGAAAGAGGGCTACTCACAGGGGCAGCCACGAGACCCTTGCCCTGCTCCCAGTAACCGAGCGTTTCAAAGTTTGACGCCACCAGATTGACCACCTCGTAGCTCACTCCCACACGGTCGTGGTTCTTGTCAAATGCAACCCTGGAAGGAAGGACAACAGGAGGTGAGAAGGAGAGAGAAACAGGTCAAGACCCTGAGTCGTGCCAGAACACGTAGGTCACTCACTCCCACACAATCATGGTTCCTGTGAAAGGCAACCCTGGAAGGATAGCCGAAGGAAGGACGAAGAAAGGTAGGAAGGAAGGAAGGAAGGAGAGAGAACAAAGCTGTGAGACATGTTAAAAGTCTATCTCGTAGCTCTTTTGTCAAAGGTATGCTGGAAGCACAGCCGAAGGAAGGAAGGGGAGAGAAAAGAAGGCGGGGACGGGTGGGGTGGCAGAGGGAGAAAAGAAAGCGATGTGACGAGACAGAGGGAGGAACGGGTGTGGGGAAATAGAGCGAGAAAGAGGGGGTTGGGGAGACCGGGCTGGGGGGATGATGGGTTTGATTCTGCACTGCATTGAGCAGCCTTGGACAGGCTGTCCCCATTGCAATGCAGCTCAATCTCACTTCAAGGGATTCCCAGTCATAAAGGATCCATGTGCCCTCACGAAATCACTACCACGGGCATTCATGCATGCTAGTCTGGTCGTCCACCATGCGGGGCGGGGCGGGAGGAACCTCACTCACTCATCAACAACACTCACTTTCCAGTGATTCCATCCACTTTAGTCTTGACAAGCGTTTTGAGGCGTCTCAACACTCACTTTCCAATGATTCCATCCATCTTAGTCTTGACAAGCTCCTCCAATATCCTCACGCCAGCTGTCAAGGCATGGAAACAGGATTCGATAGAGGCGATGGGTTCAGACCAGTTAGGCAACAAGAGGATTAATCGACAGGATGCACGCATGCATGCATGATGATCGACAGGAGGATGCACGCATGCATGCATGCACCTAGGTACATGCAGCCAGCGGACATGTACTACGAACTGGAGGAAAAATGTGAGGCGCCTAGCATGACAAACTGGAGGATGAGAAACAATCTGCTGATGGCTCACCCTTGCTGACTTTGAGCCGCACAAAATCGGTGCTTCCCCCACCATCCGGGGGCAGAACAGGGCGGCGCGGGCGGAAGGGAAAGCTGGCGCCTGGCAGGTGGGAGAGGTTGTGCAGCGCACGGGCCGCCACCCAGAAGGCATCATAGGCAAGCAGTGAGTAGGGGGAGACCTGGCGGGGTGATGGGGGTGGGATGGGAGGCAAAAGATCGAGGCAGATAGGGTACTGTAGCTGGGGATTATGGTGGTTATTGTGGCTGGGGACTATGGTGGTTACTGTGGCTGGGAAAGCTGGCGCCTGGCAGATGGGAGAGGGTGTGCAGGGCTCGGGCTGCCACCCAGAGGGCACCCAGAGGGCATCGTAGGCAAACAGTGAGTAGGGGGGAGACCTGGCGATGGGAGGCGACAGGGATAGGATAGATAGGTATGCGGCGGGGCTGAAACGGTTACTGTGGTTGATGACTGTGCTGGATTTTGGCAGGTGGAGGGGATTGTGAGGAGGAGGAGGAGGAGGAGGAGGAGGAGGAGGAGGAGGAGGAGGAGGAGGAGGAGGAGGAGGAGGAGGAGGAGGAGGAGGAGGAGGAGGAGGAGGAGGAGGAGGAGGGCCAGACTACATACTGTGTCGGTGCCAAACATATTACATACCGTGTCGGTGCCAAAACAGACTACATACCGTGCTTTTTATCACTCTAAAAACGCCATGCAGTGTCAGACTACGTACCGTGTCAGTGCCAGAGCCGGGGTACTTGACGATGTCGAGGCCCTTCCATCACCCAATTCTGAGGCGCCTAAAAAAAAGGCGCGTACAGTGTCGGTTCCTCGAAAGCACGTACAGTGTCGGTTCCTCGAACGCACGTACAGTGTCGGTTCCTCGAACGCACGTACAGTGTCGGTTCCTCGAACGCACGTACAGTGTCGGTTCCTCGAACGCACGTACAGTGTCGGTTCCTCGAACGCACGTACAGTGTCGGTTCCTCGAACGCACGTACAGTGTCGGTTCCTCGAACGCACGTACAGTGTCGGTTCCTCGGGCGCACGTTCAGTGTCGGTTCCTCGAACGCACGTACAGTGTCGGTTCCTCGAACGCACGTACAGTGTCGGTTCCTCGAACGCACGTACAGTGTCGGTTTCTCGAAAGCATGTACAGTGTCGGTCCCTCGAACGCACGTATGTTGTAATTTCATATTTCATACAACATACATAGGCTAGAAGTGTAGCACATTTATAAATTGGGGGGTTGCTTAGTGTACCCTCCAACCACATTTTGTGGTTGGTTGGGATTGGTCCTTAGCTCAACCAATCCCAACCAACACACATTTGTGGTTGCTTGGGTCACAAGCAAGCTCACCCATTGGCCAACTTATTGGCCAATAGGGTAAGCTTCCCTCTCATCTCTCTCTTGCTCATTGTTTGTACTAAAAGAGCCTCTTGGCTCATTATTCAATGTATCAATTCTCTCTCTTCTAACATGGTATCATGAGCTAATGGCTCACGCCTACCTCCCTCGGTCCTTAGGCCACCCTCTCCTCCCCGTTCCTCAGATCTAGCCCCACCCACGGAGCTGCCCTCCCTTCACGCGCCCTTTAGGCGCTGTCCTCCCTCCCCGTGCGCCCCCTAAGGCGCTGCCCTCCAAGGCACGTCCAGATCTGCAACTCCAGCGCCCAGATCTGCACTCCCCGCGCTCAGATCTGCAACTCCAGCGCCCAGATCTGCACTCCCCGCGCTCAGATCTGCAACTCCAGCGCCCAGATCTGCACTCCCCGCGCTCAGATCTGCAACTCCAGCGCCCAGATCTGCACTCCCCGCGCTCAGATCTGCAACTCCAGCGCCCAGATCTGCACTCCCCGCGCTCAGATCTGCAACTCCAGCGCCCAGATCTGCACTCCCCGCGCTCAGATCTGCAACTCCAGCGCCCAGATCTGCACTCCCCGCGCTCAGATCTGCAACTCCAGCGCCCAGATCTGCACTCCCCGCGCTCAGATCTGCAACTCCAGCGCCCAGATCTGCACTCCCCGCGCTCAGATCTGCAACTCCAGCGCCCAGATCTGCACTCCCCGCGCTCAGATCTGCAACTCCAGCGCCCAGATCTGCACTCCCTGCGACCAGATCTACTCCTCCCGCGCCTAGATGTGATCATTCCGCGCCCAGATCTGGATTCCGCGCCACCAGATCTACTCCTCCCGCGCCCAGATCTGAACATTTTGCACCCAGATCTGCACTCCGCGCGCCCAGATCTGCACTCCGCGCGCCCAGATCTGCACTCCGCCCGCCCAGATCTGCCCTCCGCGCGCTCAGATCTGCCCTCCGCGCGACCAGATCTGCACTCCGCGCGACCAGATCTGCACTCCGCGTGACCAGATCTGCACTCCGCGCGACCAGATCTGCACTCCGCGCGACCAGATCTGCACTCCGCGCGACCACATCTGCACTTCGCGCCCAGATCTGCCCTCCGCGCGCCCAGATCTGCACTCCGCGCGACCAGATCTGCACTCCGCGCGACCAGATCTGCAGTCCGCGCGACCACATCTGCACTTCGCGCGCCCAGATCTGCCCTCCGCCCAGATCTGCACCCCGCGCAACCAGATCTGCACCCCGCGCGACCAGATCTGCCCTCCGCGCGACCAGATCTGCCCTCCGCACGACCAGATCTGCCCTCCGTGCGACCAGATCTGCCCTCCGCGCGACCAGATCTGCATCTCCCGCGCTGAAATCTGACCATTTCGCGCCCATCTCTGCACGTCCCGCTCGTTTGCCGCGGGCTGTCCCGCGTGCATTCGCCACGGGCTTCCCAGTCGCGCGGATCTGCCGCACGGCTGCCCTCTTCGTCCCCTCCCCCCCCCCTCTCTCCCTTCCTCCTCCCATTGTACCTGCCGCAGCATCATCAGCGGCACCTCAACGGCACCACCAGCAGCACCCTCCCCCCTTTCCTCCCCCATAGCATCGCCCTCCTCCTCCTCCACCCAACCCACCCTCCGCTCCTCCCTTCCTCCTCCCATCCTACCTGCAGCAGCACCACCAGCAGCACCTGCAGCGGCACCACCAGCAGCACCCTTCCCCCTTGCATCCCCCATAGCATCGCCCTCCTCCTCCTCCACCTTCCCCACCCTCCGCTCCTCCCTTCCTCCTCCCATCCTACCTGCAGCAGCATCCGCAGCGGCACCAGCTGCAGAACCAGCAGCGGCACGGGCAGCAGGGCCAGCAGCAGCATTGGCAACGGTACCCTCGCACCATCCTCCTCCTGCCCTAGCCTCTACCCACCCTCATCTCTATGGCATCGTCGTCCAATTCTTCCGTCGACCTTGCCACTGTTGACGCACTCGAGTTGCTGCCTGACAACTCTGCTGCTAATTGACACTCTTATGCTCATTCCGTTGAAGTGCTCCTCTCCTCTGTTGTGGTCAGCGGCTACAACCTTCACTCGGTTGTCTTTCAGGAAGGCGGTGGACTTCAGCCCGTGGCCCCCACCGCTCCTACTGGACCTGCCCCCGCCCACCCTGGCGCCGAGCCCTCTCCCCCCGGTGATCCTCCCACCTTCGCGCCGAATGTCAACGACCCGCAGAGCTCGGAAACCGCCATTCGCACCTACCGCACCAATCTCCAAGAGCACCTGCGCCTGCAATTGCGTTACGAGGACGACAGGTGCATCTATGACGAGGCCGCTGCCCGCTACAACAAGTACCAGGAGGACCTGGACACCTACACTGCAGAACTTGCAGACTACATCACGAAAATTAATGTCTGGCGGGTCGCTGATCGGCGTGCGCTTGCCATTCTTCTCGCCACCATCCCCTCCTCCCTCAAACGCGAGCTCTCACCTACCTCCTCCTCCCACCTGTGGCGACTGCTAGTCGACCTTTTCGATCGGCAGGACGTTGCCAATCTTTACGCCCTTATCAAGGAGTTTGGAACTCTCTCCATGGATTCCACTTCTGGCGCAGCTGCTTTCACTCGCCGTGTCTTAGACCTTGCTCGGCGCCTTGCAACACTCGATGTGGTGTACCCGGACACCGTCATCTGCTGCCACCTCCTCGAGGGCCTCACACCTGCCTTCGACGCTCACAAGCTTGCTTACATACAGCTTATCTCCAAGCACCACACCCCTGCCAAAGTCGCTCAGTGGATTATCACCACCGAAGCTGAGATCCTTCGCCACTCTTCCTCCACAGCCGCAGCAGCCCAGTCGCGCAGCAGCCGGGGTGGACGTGGCGGTGGGCGTGGGGGTGGGCGTGGTGGTGGGCGTGGGGGTGGACGAGGGGGATCAGCAAGTCGCGGTGGTGCTGGCAGCAGTGGTGCGGGTCGTGGTACGGCAGCTGCCTTTCCTCCCTGTCAGTACCTGCCTCGCTACGGTCCCACTCAGGGACATCGCTGCGGCCAAACCACCCATGCCACTGAGACGTGCTTCAAGGCACTCAGTGATGAGTGGTTTGCCCGTGGCAACACCGGCACCCCTCCTCGCTGGTTCGCCCTCAACCCTCGCCCCACTCCCCTTGAGGTCCGTTCCTCTCCCCTTTATGAACCTCCCTCCTCCACCCACGCCCACCAGGCCCTCGCCCCTCCCCAGCAGCAGCACCAGCAGCAGCAACAGCAGCAGCAGCTTGGGAATCAGCAGCAAGGGTCACAGCAGTATGGGCAGCAGCTTCTCTCTCAGCTCCAGCAGCAGCTCCGGCATCTCCAGCAGCAGCTCGACCTCCAGCCGCAACTGCCCCTCCTCCCTCCTCCTCCGGTTTCCCAGCAGCAGCCCTTTCCTACCTTGAGTGCTGGGAGTGCTGCCTCTGCAGCCCATCTCTCGGGTGCGTCCCCGGCGCCGTCTGCAAGTGGCAGTGTGACCGCTTTCCCTTCCTCTGGTTTTGTTGGTTTATTAGGTCAACCTGAATCTGTTGCATCTCCCATGTACCCTTCTTCTGCTAATGAAACTTCGTTCCAGTACTCTGCCTCACCTTCCTCCACCATTGACTTCGTTCTGGACAGTGGAGCCACTAACACTGTCCTTCGTGACGCTGGTACACTGCGCCCTCTCCCCACACCAACCTCCCTCCTCGGCGCTGATAGCAGTTTTTCCATCCCTTGTCACAACACCTCCACCCTTCCCTGTCCTCTCTTTCCCTCAGGTACTGTCACCAGTCTCCACATTCCCTCCTTTCGTACTAACCTCCTCTCCCAAAGGTCCCTCCAACAAGCCATGATCACCACTCTCATCCCAGGTGGTGCTAACCATTGTGACCTATACCAAACCTCCACAGGTCGTTTTCTCGCCCGTATTCCCTATTGTCCTCGCTCCCGTCTGTACACCCTTCGGGTTCCCCGCCCCCTCACCTTCCAAGTTGCCTCCCCCCCCCTCCTTCCCCCCCCCCCCCTCCCCTCCCTCCCACTAACCCACCCCTCCCCCCCCGCCCTCCTGACTCTGACTGTTCCTGTCGCTCCCTCTCCCACCCCACCATCCTCCTCCATCACAGGCTAGGCCACCCCAACTTCGCTACTCTGCGCTTCTCTGTCTCCTCCGGTCTCCTCCACGGTCTCCCCTCCTTCCTCCCTCCCCTCCCCAAATCCCCTGCCCCCCCCTGCACCGTCTGCGTTCAGAGCAAGCTCAAGCAGCAGCCGCACCGGAGCTCCCCTTCCGCTACTACGCAGCCACTTGATCTTGTTCACATGGACCTATGGGGCCCTAATCCCTCTCCCACTCGCCAGGGCCATCGCTACCTTCTCGTGCTTGTTGATGATCACAATCGGTACTCGTCCGTCTCTCTCCTTCGGACGAAGGCGGATGCCCCGGCTGCAATCATCGCCTGGCTCGAGCGGGCAAACACCCATTTTGGGCGCCCTGTTCGCCGCCTTCACTCTGATGGAGGTGGTGAGTTCCTTAACAACCAAGTCTCCTCCTATTGTCAGTCTCGTGACATCCTTCAGACTTACACCCTCCCTCACTCGCCACAGCAGAACGGCGTGGCTGAGAGTCGTGTTCGAGAGATCACCAAAACAGCCCGGTGTCTGCTTGTCCACGCCTCCTGCCCCCCTTCTCTTTGGGGCTACGCCCTCCTTCATGCCGCCCTCCTTACTAACCTTTACCCTCACCCCCTTCTCCCCTCCATCACCCCCACTGAGCTGTGGACGAAGGACAAGCCTGATGCCTCATCACTTCGTGTCTGGGGCTCTAAGGCACATGTCCTCATTCACCCCTCTGACCGCTCCTGTTCCATGGGAAAGCTTGCCCCTCGTACCCTTCCCTGCATCTTCCTTGGTCATAATCCCTCCTCCCCTGACTACCTTTTCCTCCACCCACCATCCGGTCGTCTAATCCGCAGCCGGGATGTGGTCTTTGACGAGTCCACTCCCTACTACTCCTCTCCCACATCTACTGACCCACTCCCCCCTCTCACCCGTCCCCTTGTCTGGTCTAACACCACCCCTCCCCCACTACTCCCTCCTCCCCCCATCCTCCCACACCCCCCTTCTCCGCCGTCCCAGTCCCATAGTGCCCCTCCCTCTTCTGGTGACATCTTTGACCCGTAACCTCTGTCTTCTCCTGTCTCCCCCGCTCACTCCTCTCCTACTACCCCTCCCCCCCCCCTTCCTCTCCCTCGCCACCAACCCGTCCTCCCCCTTCCCGCACCATACTCACCCGGTATCCCCACACCAGGTCACGTGACGGTATCCTTGGTGCATCGCCTCCCGTAACCCTCTCTACCTCTACCCTCCCACCTCTCTCCCCCCTCCTCCGTCACTTCTTCCAGGCTGTCTTGCATCAAGCCCCTCATGCAACAGCCCCCTCAGCCACCTCCTCTCCAGCAGCGGCACCAGCAGCGGGACCAGCAGCGCCAGCAGCAGCACCTCCAGCAGCCGCAACAGCAGCAGGACCAGCAGCGGCAGCAACAGCGGAAGCGGCATCGGCAGCAGCAGCGGGACCAGCAGCGGCACCAGCAGCGGCACCAGCAGCAGCACCAGCAACAGTATCAGCAACAGTACCAGCAGCGGCACCAGCAACGGCACCAGCAGCGGCACCAGCAGCGGCACCAGCAGCGGCACCAGCAGCAGTACCAGCACCGGCACCGGCACACCTCCACCAGCAGCACCAGCAGCGGCACCAACAGTCATCCGCGCCTTCCACATCTCCCTCTCTGAGGACTCCCATGAAGAGTTCCTTGACCTCCACCTTTATGACCCCTCGCTTCTACCCATCACGTTCGACCTCTCTGGCACACCTGTCTTCGCCTTCTCCTCTGCTCCCTCCATTTTCGTTCCTACCACGTACGAGGAGGCAATGGCGTGCCCTGACGCTCCGCTATGGCTCGCCGCCATCATCAAGGAGCTGGAGACCTTTATCGGCAACTCCTCTTTTGTCGATGTGCCTCGCCCTCCCGCCCCTACGAACGTGGTGAAAGGAAAGTGGGTGTTTCGCGTCAAGCAGCTGCCAGGGGAGCCGCCCGTTTATAAGGCTCGTTACTGCGCCAAGGGGTTCACGCAGCGGTATGGTTTTGACTTCTTCGATACCTTCTCCCCTACTGCCAAGCCTGCTACTGTTCGCGCCGTGCTCGACCTCGCCGCTCGCCTCAATATGGAGATCCACTCGATGGACGTTTCTAACGCCTTCCTACAAGGCGTCCTCCGCGAGCTTATCTACATGGAGCGTCTAGCCGGCTTTCACCTCCCCTTCCCAGCAGACTCTGTCTGGCAGCTGCGTCGACCGGTGTATGGGCTCCGACAGGCCCCGAGGGAGTGGCATGCTAAACTTGCCGCCACCCTTGCTGAACTTGGGTTCCGCACCTGCCGCTCTGACGCCAGCCTCTTCCTCCGCACCTCCCTCTCCCCATTTTACATCCTTGTGTATGTCGATGACATGATTCTGCTCACTGCCGACCTTGGAGAGTTGGAGCATGTTAAGGCTGAGTTGGGCACCCGTCTCAAGTGCAAAGACTTGGGAGAGCTGCAGCATTATCTGGGCATGACCATCACTCGTGACCGCTCCGCCCGCACCATCTCACTCTCCCAGGGTCATTACTTGCAGCAGGTCTTGGAGCGGTTTGACATGGCCCGCGGCGGTGCCCAACCTACACCTCTTTCTGTCGGGCACCACCTCTCTCGACCCACCTCCCCCTCAGCCTCCTCCCATCCTTATCCCGAGCTCATCGGCTCCTTCATGTACGCCATGGTCTCCACTCGCCCTGACCTTGCCTACCCCATCAGCGTCCTCGCTTGTTTTGTTGGCGCAGGCAAGCGTACGGAAGAGCACTGGCAGGCCGCCAAGCGTGTCCTCCGGTACCTTCGTGGCACCAAGGACTATGTCCTTACCCTTGGCGGCCCCTCCCCACCTCTTCTCAGCGGCTACAGTGACTCTTCCTGGGCTGATTCCCGGCCAGATCGTCGCTCCTCCCAGGGCTATGGCTTCTCTCTTGGCAGCGGCCTTATCAGCTGGCGCTCCACCCACTCCTCGGCTGCAGCCCTCTCCTCCTGCGAGGCAGAATTGTATGCCGCCACCATGGCTGCGCAAGAGGCCCGCTGGCTCACCTTCCTTCTTGAGGAACTTGATGCCCCCCAGCGCTGTCCCACAATTTGGTGTGACAATGTTAGTACCATTCACCTCACCAAAGATGCTGTGTTTCACGGGCGCTCCAAGCACATTGAGCTCCGTCATTTCTTCATTCGCGATCTTGTTCAGGCGGGGCACCTTCACCTCGACAAGGTTGACTCGGCGGCCAACCTTGCCGACATCTTCACAAAAGCTCTTCCTCATGCCGCTCACTCTTTCCTACTTCGTCTTCTTGGCCTCACTCCTCCTAAGTCGCCTCCCGCCTCTTGATTCTAGCCTTCTAGCCTTATGCATGTCGGGGGGTTGTGTTGTAATTTCATATTTCATACAACATACTTAGGCTAGAAGTGTAGCACATTTATAAATTGGGGGGTTGCTTAGTGTACCCTCCAACCACATTTTGTGGTTGGTTGGGATTGGTCCTTAGCTCAACCAATCCCAACCAACACACATTTGTAGTTGCTTGGGTCACAAGCAAGCTTACACATTGGCCAACTTATTGGCCAATAGGGTAAGCTTCCCTCTCATCTCTCTCTTGCTCATTGTTTGTACTAAAAGAGCCTCTTGGCTCATTATTCAATGTATCAATTCTCTCTCTTTTAACGGCGTATAGTGTCGGTTCCTCGAACGCACGTACAGTGTCAGTGCCAGAGCCGGGGTACTTGACGGTGTCGAGGTTCTTCCATCGCCTCTTAAACTCCAGCAAGCGCGGGTTGTCCCGAATGGCCACTCGTGTGCCCACCATGCCCTGGTGCATGCTCACAGGGGGAGAGGGAGGGTGGGTTGGAGCGGCGAGTGCCGAGGTAGGTCGAGCTTTCAATACGCTTTTGAGAATTCTCAAAAGTGATTACAACACAGCCCGTCCATGCACGGAGTGTTTTTTGCTACACACTCACTCACAGTGAGAGCACTAGGCTGCTAGCCGTGGTTGCTACGCATTGACTGCCACACATTGACTGCTTAATACATACAGTGAGATTGTTTGCTACACACACACTTACAGTGAGAGCATTAGGTCACGAGCCTTCACTGCCAACGACTGTTATATATCGATCACGACATACAGCGAGAGAGCTGGGGTAGGTGGAGTTCATGTTGGCGCCCATGCGGAGGGAGATACCATAGCGCCTCCATGGATATCCATTTCTGCGATGTCTCAAAAATCATTGGCGCTACGTACAGTGAGAGAGCTGAGGTAGGTGGAGTTCATGTTAGCGCCCATGAGAAGGGAGATAGCTCCCTCGGTGGATATCCACACGTACCCCTCACTCATCAGCCCCATGCGCTGCGCTGCAACCAGGAGAAACGCGGGGGTACAGGGGAGGAAGGTGGTCGAGAAGAGGGGGGTTGGTTCAAAAATGGCAAGGGAGGTGGGTGGGAAATGACAGCCTCGGTAGATATCTGCACGTACCCCTCGCTCATCAGCCCCATGCGCTGCACTGCCACCAGGGAGAAACGCGAGGGGAGAGGGGAGGAAGCTGGCTAATGCGCCATTAGGTATATCATGAGTCGACTCAAAACTAGGCAGAATTTGGATGGGATGGGAGCCGCCTCTTGGATCGAGATGCTTTTCTAGTCCATATCACACGTTTTGCTCAAATCTAGGACAAACCCGTGAAAGGGAATTACCCCACCCCCCCCCCCCCCCCCCCCCCCCCCGAAAAAAAAAAAAAAAAAAAGGAAGAGGCATTTTACTGAAGCGCATAGCATGGGGGTCGATGGCTGGTCGTAGACATGAGCACAAGGGCGGCGAACCGAACAGGTTTGTTTTTTTTGCTTAAAGTGTTCGCCAAACAGTGTTCGAGGTTCGCCCGAACACGAACGTGTTCGGGCCGCTACTGCAATTTGCCCTGCGACGAACACGAACGTGTTCAAGGTTCGCCCGAACACGAACGTGTTCGAGGTTCACCCGAACACGCCTTCACAGGCGAACGGCGAACACTTGTTTTTGGTTAAAGTGTTCGCCGAACCGAACAGTGTTCGGTTTGGCAAACGGATGTGTTCGTGTAGGGGCGAACACAAACATGTTCGTGTTCGCCCCTTGCTCATCCCTAGCTGGTCGTGCTCGAAACCAAGGCGTGCCTTTGTCAAGGAGGGAGAGGATGTTGGAGGAGGCGACGTGGACGACCAAGTACTCAAGAAGAGACTCGAGGTCTGTATGTTTGCTCTGAGTCGTGACTCAGAGCTAGTCCCTCCAGAGGCCTACACACATGCGTACCTTCGTCAAGAAGGAAGAGCACGTTGGAGGAGGCGACGTGGACGACCAAGACGGAGGTCCCGGAGGACTGCATGTTCGCCCACTTTTTAGTCGACTAAACAATACCGCATGCTCGCCGTGAGTTGTGAGTCATGTTTTGTCTCTCGAGAGCCGAGCTATACACAAATGTGTACCTTCGTCCAGGAGGAAGAGCACGTTGGAGGAGGCGACGTGGACGACAAAGACGGAGGTCTCAGAGGACTGCATGGCGCGCAGCAGCTGCGTTATCTCTTCATTAGTGGCCCGCGGGTCCAGAGCTACCTTGTTGGAGAACTGCAGCGGCAGCTGCTGCGACTGGCAGTGTGAGGCAGGGAGGGCGGGGCAGGGAGTGGGTAAGGCGAAAGTAAAAGGTTAAGAAAGTAGGGATGCACGCGGATCCAGAGCGACCTTGTTGGAGAACTGCAGCGGCAGCTGCTGCGATTGGTGGGTGTGGGGGCTGGGATGGGGGGGGGGATGGGGGTGGGGATGGGTGCAGGGATAGGGCAAGGATTTTGCAGGGATGGGGCAGAGATGGGGCAAGGATGGGGCGGGGATGGGGTAAGGATGGGCAGTGTGTGAGAATGGGATAGTGACGGAGGGATGTGCGCGGGTCCAGAGTTTAGGGGGACAGCGGCAGGCAGCTGCAGCCACTGGCAGTGTGCGGAGCAAAAGAGAGGGGGGTAGGGGCGGAGGAAGAGATGGGGCAGCGATGGGCAATGTGTGAGAATGGGATAGAGAGGGAAGGATGTCTGCGGACTCAAAAGGCTCAGAGGCACCTTGTTGGAGCATTGTAGCTGGTGCGACTAGCAGTGTGTGGAGCAGCGATGAGGGCAAGTATTGCATGTCACTCAAGTGTCGCATACCAGGGATCATAACCCATGCCATGGCATGCCACCCAGCACCGTTGTGGTACCTTAGCCATGAGCATGTTGGTGAGCACGTCCATGCCATTGCGCCCAAAAGCAAACCATACCATGCCATGCCATGCCATACATACTACCATACCACGCCATGCCATGCCATGCCATGCCATGCCATGCATACATACTACCATACCATGCCATGCCATGCCATGCTATACATACTACCATACCATGGCATGCCATGCCATACATACCACCTTACCATGTCATGCTATGCCATACATACTATTATGTCATGTGAAACCAGCTTTGGCCTTGAGGATGTTGTCAACGGGAGTTGTGTGTTGGCCCCGTCCTTTCTTGGGCGGAGCCGACTTCGTGCTCGGGTGAACGGGAGGTGCAGCCGAATAGCAGCTGTGGGCGACGCCGACTTAGGCGAGCTGGTCGACAGGTTTGGTCGACGTGCACAGGGCCATTGCACAACCGCCGACTTTGGGAAGCTGACGGCCGATTTCTACCGATGGTCGACGACGGGGCTCGTCGACCTGGGAAGGGCGCCGACTTGGAGGGCGCCGACTTGGAGGGCGCCGACTTCGGGAGGTCGACCTGGCGAGGTCGACCTAGGGCGCCGATCTGAGAGGCGTCGTGGTGGCGCCGAGCTGGGAGAGCACCGACTTTATAGTGCCAACTTGGGGAAGCCGGCTTGGTGTGGTCGGCGTCCAACAAACCTGGTCGGCCAGAAGTGGTCGACCTGGGGGAGTAGCCGACTTCGTGAAGTCGGGGGAAGGTGGTCGTCGATCCTGACGGTCGACGTGCACGAGGATCAGCGCTTTGTCGACATGGTTGTCAGGTCGACCAAGTTACCCGGGCGACGGGGTTCTGCGGAGGTGCGAGATAGTCGCCCAGGTGGTTCTGGCGAATCCAACCTCGGAGTCGGAAGTCGTGGCCGATTAGGCATCTACGTGACGGGCACAGCATGCCAACCAACTGCAAGCACCTGCGAAGCGGGTGCGCTGCTGTCATGCGGGTGCAACGCTGTGCAGTCGCCTTTCTGCAGCACTGGAGCGGTCCAGACTCTGCTGCGCTGGAACTCGGTCGACCGTGCTGCACTGGAGGTCGACCTGCTTGTGCGCTAGGCGGACTTGCATCTGACGTAGTCAACTTTGCGAATGTTGTTGCTACCATTGTTCACAACTTTCTCTAGTGAAAAGCTTGTCGTTTTACCCCGTGAATACACAAGTGCTAGAAAACGCTAAGGAGCATTACGATCACTCTCACAACCGTGCCTTCCCCTGTAGTCAAGCTCCTGTTGAACGAGTTATCTCCACAGATGTTAGTGAGCGCGTCCATGCCATGTGGTACATGAAAGAACAACCAACCTTAGCCATGAGGATGTTAGTGAGCGCAACCATGCCATGTGGTACATGAAAGAACAACCAACCTTAGCCATGAGGATGTTTGTGAGGGCGTCTATGCCATTGTGCCCAAACTCATCGTCTGAATAGATCATGATGGCCTGGTGCCACTGGTAGTACTGCAGTATGTCTGTGTGGGGTGGGACGAGAACGGCAGGGAGGAAAAGGGGAGGGGGGATGGGGATTGGGAGGGGCGAGGGGGCGGTGGGTCAGGGAGGGTGAGAACGGAAGGTTGGGTAGTACTGGAAAGAGGAGTCATACAAGATCATGATGGTCTGGCGCCACTGGTAGTACTGTAGTAGGTCTGTGTGTGTGTGTGGACTACACCAGGCAGCACTTGTGCGGACTATGACTATGACTCACCCGCTGTCACCTCCATCTCCATCTGGCCGCTATGGCTCAGACGCACACTTTTAAGTCGACTCTCTGAATATACCTTCTAACCCGCCGGGCAGCACCCACCGGGAAGCATTCCCCGGGCGGGGAATATGATGATGACTCACTCACCCGCCACCCCACCTCCTCCATCTCCATCTGGTCGCTCGCTGGTTGACTGACAGTATAGTCAGTAGGGCGCATGACGTAGGTAGGGGAACCGCCCCTTGACTTGGACGACAGTGTGGGGCAGCACCCCGTGCCACTCACAGGCCACCACCACCACCTCAACTCTCACCCACCGGGCAGAACTAGCCCGGCCTACGATGACTCACCCGCTATCACCTCCATCTCCATCTGGTCGCTGTGGCTCAGACGCACGAAGTAGGGGAACTGACGCGAGGGCCAGGCCAGGCCAGCACTCCTTGTCATCCCCTGGCCACCACCTCAACTCCCACCCACCCGGCAGCGCTTGTGTGAGGCCTATGATGACTCACCCGCTATCACCTCCATCTCCATCTGGTCGCTGTGGCTCAGACGCACGAAGTAGGGGAACTGCCCTTTGGAAGACAGTGTGGGATCCGTTGCCGAGAAGCTCAGCATCGGCACCTGGAGAGGGGTGGGGAAGGGAGACAGGAGGGAGAGGGAGAGGAAGAGGGGGAAGGACAGGGGGAGGAAGGAAGGAGGAGAGGGGAGGGGTGGGGAAGCAGAAGCGGGGGGAGCCTGCTTCTGAGGCGCAGGAAGAAGGAAAATTGCCCCTTGTACGATAATGAGGGGTCCGTGGCTGAAAAGCTCAGCGTCGGCACCTGGGGGGAGGGGAGAGGGTTGGGGAAGCGGAAGCGGGGGGGAGCCTGCTTGGAAGAAGGGGAACAGCCCCTTGGACGATAACGAAGGGTCCGTGGCTGAAAAGCTCAGAGTCGGCACGTGGGGGGAGGGAGATGGGGGGAGGGGGGAACCGGGGGGGGTGGGGTGGGTAATGAAGAAGGGAAACTGTCCCGTGAATAGCTCAGTACCAGCAGAGGGAGGGGCGCAGGGGAGGGAGGGCGGGGGGGCTGGGAGGTGGCGGGCGGGCGGGAGATGGCGCAGCGCTACCAGAAAGCATGTAACTTCACCAGCACTAAGAGGACACTGTATTGTACTGTATTGTACTGTACTGTACTGTACTGTACTGTACTGATTAATAAATATTGTGCTGCAGAATACTACTGTACTTGTTGTGGATTAGTGTAGTGTAGTGTACCTGGTAGTCGCGGCACAGGTCGATAATGCTGTGAGCCTGGGACGAGTATTCAGGCCCCAGCACCAGCAGCGCGTCGTCAAGCATCGTCTGCAGTGCTGTGTGCATGAAGTGATGTGATGTGGTGCGGTGCGGTGTGGAGTGGAGTGGTGTGGCGTGGCGTGGTGTGGTGCGGTGCGGTGCAGTGTGGTGCAGTGCGGTGTGGTGTGGTGTGGTGTGGTGTGGTGTGGTGTGGCGCAATGCGATGGGATGTGAGACCAAGGAAACGCATATTGAGGTGCCTCAGAAGTTGTGAAGTTTGGCGATCTGATGCGGTGTGGGACCAGGAAAACCAGGTTTACTTTTGAGCCGACTATAGAAATTCTGGGAGCAAAAAGGGCTGGATTCTGACATATGATCGTGAGTTCATGGCAGGAAAGGGTGAGGTTAGCGACTTGCGAGTGTGAGTTCGTGCCATGTGATAATGAGCGAACGACATTTGATCGTTCGTGCGTTGTTAACGTGCGGGAAGCATGGATTGTGACATGCGAGCATGGGCTTGCAAGGGAGAACACGCACCTGCTGCCTGTGCCTGGAACCTGGTGCTTCCCGTGTTACCAAAAGAGAGCCTCAGCGGATAGGGGAACGTCAAGGAGGAGTCTGCCTGAACATCCTCGAACGCCAGCCGGATGGCTGTGATTGGGCAACGGAGAGGGAAGACGAAACATGGAATTATTTTTTTTACGCGCCTCAAAAATAGTATCAGCAGATAAGGGAACGTCAAGGAGGGGTTTGCTGCTGGCACATCCGCGAGCGCAGCCAGATGCTGTGATTGAAGCACGGCAGTTGTGAAAAGCTCTTGGCGAAATTGGTAGCCCTTGAGTAATTCGCCAGGGTTGTCCATAACTGCGGGTCAAGGTGCTGCCAGAGAAAATTCATTTAGCAAGCGTAGTGCAAAAAATCTTATACAGGTGATTCTTTGAACAGAAATGCGGGCGAGATGTGACTGGGAGTTTTGAGACGTCTTTTGAGACGCCTCAAAAGATGTGATTGGGAGTTAATATACAAGCTTATAAGGCTTCGTAGCCAACTCGCCCACGCATTCAGTTCGACAAGTGTTCCTCTTAAAAAGTTTTGCATAGTGAGTGCTTTGCAATGGGGAGAGAAAGCGTCGCACTTTGAGAGCATAAAGAGAGTTTTTCACGGTGAGATTCGCAAGAGGATAGTTTTGCACGATAAGAATGTCGCATGGTAAAAAAAGCTTCGCACGGTGAGAGTCGCATGGTAAGAGTTTCGAAGGGTGAGCATGTCGCATGGTATGAGTTCCGCACAGTGAAAGTGACGCATGGTAACTAAGAGTCTCGCAAGGTGAGAATGTTCCATGGTAAGAGCTTTGGAAGTTGAGAACTTCGCATGGTAATAGGTGTGTCGCACAGTGAGAATGTGGCACCAGGAGTGTCGCACAGTGAGAATGTCGCAACAGGAGTGTCGCACAGTAAGAATGTCGCGCTAGGAGTGTCGCACCTGAGCGGAACGATGGGCCTTGCCCCAGCTCCTCCCCCGTGAGCACGCCAATCGTCAGCGTCTGATTCTCTACATTCGCCTCTACCACGCGCGCTTCGCTCCGCGGCCTGCGCGGGAACTTCGTGTGAAACGACGGACGCTCACCGTGGCCCACCAACGAGCTCTCGCCACGTGTCCTAGTTGTCAGGAAACAGCTGGCACAAGCAACCAGAATAAACGCAGCTAAGGGCATCACGGGAACAGACCATCGACGACGATGCCTACTTTCGAGCAACACACTTGCAGCCATATTTCTGTCCCGACGCTCTTCCCTTACTGGATGAACTTAAAACTAAGCGTTTGCAGTGGCGTTGCGAGGGCTTCTACTAGTTGCTACCGACACCCTGAACTTGGGCCGACACCGTTTTCCTGAGCTACACGTGTTCGGTCGGACTTCTAGTTCAAGAGCTTCAGCATTGGTGAATGGAGCTAAAGAGAGCCTAGGAACTGCCGAAGGAGAAGGCAGCCTGACGGCCTAACGACTGTCCGTTCAGTCTTGCGACTGTTACGGATGCAATGGAATGAGGTACGATCGCACTAAGGTGAGTACAAAATTATGAGTGAAGGCATGACTGAATAATTATACGGAAACAAGCACTTATGCGGTGCATGCGAGCTAGCTAGTGCGAAGCTGGCATGAAGGTTGGGGCTAGTCCCGAGGCGTAGGCCGACACGGCCGGGCCAGCGGTGCATGGTTTGGAGAATAGTGCGCGGGAAGGTTGACGAAGCCCGTTCGCAGTAACAAACGAACAATGGCTGCTTCTGTACGCGGCGGAAAATCCGATGGCTCCAAATTTTTTTCCTGGTCGATTATCCGCTCCGATATAGGACGCGCCACTGATGGCGGAGGATGGCGTGGCAGTTGGCTTTGTTGGGCTGAAAAAGCCCTTAAGGATCTTTGCAGAGGATAACTCTGGGTGGGATATTTGTAATAGCGGAAGCGTTTAATGAAGTTTGTGAACCGACCTTGCACTAGTGTGTGAGAGCAAAGTGGATTAAATTAAACAAGCAAATACAAGGTTTTATATAAGAGGACAGGGAATACGAATGGATAGATAACTGTATTTGCTGTTGCGATTTGATACAGTGCGACTCGGGCAACTGCTCTGTAACGAGTCAGTTGTGTGTCCTTAACTGTCGCGCTGTAATTGTCGAGTCAAAGGTCGCTGACCTTTGACTTTCCCGTAACCTCCAGGCGGTTACCCTAACCTCCGAGGTTTGACTCAATGCTTCGACTCGGACTGCTTCGCTAGTGTCTTTGGTTTTGACACGTCACAAGCGCACTAAGACTTATTGTTTCCAACGCTCCCCTTCGCTTCTGGAGTGTCGCCGCAGGTGACGTGGCTTTGTCCAGTCAGCAGCATGCAGTATTCGAACTTCTGCTTTCCGAGCTTCTTGGTCAAGTAATCGGCTGCCATCTCAGACGTGGGACAGTATGACAGATCGAGTTTCCCCTTTTCGATCTCGTCCTTCACGAAGAAATAGCGAAGGGCGATGTGTTTCATCCTGTTTGCGAAGCCGTTCTTGTTGGCGATGCGAATTGCTGACTGGTTGTCGCAGAACACGGTGAAGCTGGGTAACTCGGCTAACTTCGCTTCTTCCAGCAGTTCGCGAAGGTAAAGTCCCTCCTTGGTGGCTGAGCAGATGCAATATATTCTGCTTCAGCTGAAGACAGTGCGATTAACTCATGCTTACTCGACTGCCAGGAGATAGGACCGATAGGCTCGAGGCGGTAGACATAGCCGGTGCGTGAGCGCCTGTTATCGGTGTCGCCGGCGTGATCGGCGTCGACGTAGCCGATTAGCTTGGTCGGTGTAGTTGCGTTTTTGTGATAAGTTAATCCGATCGTCGCGGTGCTGACGAAATAGTGGAGAGCGCGATCGAGTTCCGCCAGATGCTCTGCTTCAGGCTTCTTGAGATAGGTGGCGAGCTGGCTCGCGGAGTAGGATAAGTCGGGACGGCATGTGACTGCTGCGAAGAGAAGACATCCGGGCTTCTTCTGATAGTCGCGTATGCCGGCGGGCTTGAGTAGGGTAGATCGTCCCTTTTCGGTTCCTGACGTGTAGCGGTAAGGCGTGGAGATGGCGCTTGGTGTGAGGCTGAAGCGTTTCGCGATGGTGTCGGCGTACTTCTTGGTGCTTAGATAGATTGCGTTTTCTTCCTCGCGGATGTTGAGCCCGAGGTACTGCGTAACGGTAGAAGAGACCGTGAGCGTGAGGTCTTTCTGAAGCTCCCCTTCGAACCACGTGGCGATGCCGTCGGTTGACCCAATGTAGAGGAGATCGTCCACGTAGACGATTAGGAGAACGTAGTCACTTCCCTTTGTGAGGCGATACATGCCCTGGTCGTGCGGGAGTTGTTTGAAACCGATGCGAATGAGGCGGGCGCGTAGGTACTGCTGCCACAGTCGCGGTGCCTGCTTGATCCCGTAGAGCGACTTAAGCAGTTGACAGACTCGGTTGGGTTCGCCGTGGGAGCCGTGCGGGAGCTCGACGAAGATTTCTGCATCCACAGGTGCGTAGAGAAATGCGTTTGCAACGTCGATTTGTCTCAGTTTCTTTTTTTTCATGGCGGCGACGGCGATGAGGATTCGGAGTGAGGTGTGACGGCTGACCGGAGCGAAGGTTTCGGTGCAATCTCTTCCGTGCTCCTGGTCAAAGCCGCGTACGACCCAGCGAGCTTTGAATTTGTCGATGGTGCCATCAGCTTTCGTCTTCACACGGAAGACCCACTTCCCGGTAAGGATAGTTTTGTTTTGTGCTACGCCGATGGGAACGATTTTCCAGGTGTTGCGCTCCTCCAGTGCCTTCAGCTCTTTGTCCATGGCTTCACGCCATTTCTCCCTATGTTCCCCCTCCAGAGCCTGTTGAACCGTCGCAGGCTCCTTAGGAATGGCGGCGCCATGGACTGTGGTGACGAGACCAAGGATTTGCAGTCCAGTCTGTGAGTATCGAGGGAGTTGTGGATCCTCGAGATAAGCTGCTTCGTCTCCCACTTCTGGGTCGGGTATGAAATTTGGCCCTACCCTTTCTGCTTCGTTGGTGTTGACTGTCGTAGGTGTTATGTAATGATTGTCGGTGAAATGGTAGAAGACTTCGGCATTGTTACTGTCGCGAGGATTTTCCTCATCCATGGGCACGTCGACGGAGCAGTACGGAAGAGGTCCGGCTTCCTCCGATGCGTTGTCGACGTTCTGCTCATCCGAGTCTGCTTCATCCGCTGCTGACGCGAAGGCTCGGTCACCACGAAAGCCTCTGGTGAGGTCCCGATTCTCGTGCAAGTTGGCGAGGTACGTTTGAAGGGTGAGTCGTTCGTGTCAGAGGTCCACTGGTGATCCCCGATTGATCCTAGGGAAGGGTTACAGGCGCGTTTGCCTGGGGGGTTATGGGCGCACTGACCCACTACTGAAACAAGCCCTTTTATCCCAATGGTCTAGTGGTTGGGATTCTGACATGGTATCAGAGCGAAGGTCTCGGGTTCGAATCCCGGTGTATGCACTTCGGGCATCCCAGTGCGGGGGGGTGTCAGAGGTCCACTGGTGATCCCCGATTGATCCTAGGGAAGGGTTACAGGCGCGTTTGCCTGGGGGGTTATGGGCGCACTGACCCACTACTGAAACAAGCCCTTTTATCCCAATGGTCTAGTGGTTGGGATTCTGACAGTTCGTAGAAGATCACATCACGTGCTGCTACTGTTTGTTTTGTGTGGACGTCGAAGATTCCCCACGCGTTGTAATTTTTCTTGATGCCGAGGTGTAGTCCCCATTGTGCCCGTTGTGAAAATCTTCCCGCTCGTGCTTCTGGGGGTCTGTACTGTACCATGCACCCGAAAACTCGTAACATTTTTGTGCTGCCCTGCTTCCCTGTCCACAGCAGATGCGGTGATGCATTGTTCGGGAGTGACGACGACGACAACAAGTTGTGCAGCATGACAGCATCGTCCATTGCTGCTGGCCACTGGTGGTTGGGTAGCCGCATGCCACGTAACAGTTTGCGCATGCTGTTCTGCAGAGTCCTGTTCATTCTTTCTGCAACACCTTGCTGCTGATGTGCGTAGGGAAGGGAGAGGAGTTGCTTGATCCCCCTTTCCGCCAGGAACTGCTTGAAGCGCTGAGAGGTGTACTCGCCACCTCCGTCTGACTGGAAGCTTTTCAGTTGCGTTCCAGACTCTCTCTCTGCTATCGGTAGCCAGGCGGCGAATGCTGCGAGTGCCATGTCGCGGCTGGGTAGGTTACGATGCCAGACGTATCGAGTGGCGGCGTCGATGAAGGTGATGGTGTAGTTGTAGTTGACTTGTCCTGGTTCACGATTGTAGAGGATGTCGCTGTAAACCTTTTCAAGT